TTCTCTTCCTAATTCTAATTTAATTAATATCGAACTCCTCTCTAATAGCGAAGATAATCTTGATTCTATTAATAAAGATAATAACTCTAGTAATAAAGATAATAATAGAGATTACTTCTACGAGATTACTAAGATCTTTATCGATAATAAGATTACCTATAAGCTATCTAAGAAAGAGTTCGATAACCTTTAGATCGCGATCCCTAATAAGAATTAATCTAGTATTACTTAGAAAGGTACTAAAACTAAATCTTCTCGTATATCTCGTTCTCGAATTATAGATAAAGATAGTAAAGTTAATATAATAGAAATAAGTAGAGATAAAGCTACTATTAAAGTAGTAGATAATAGCGATCTTAAAGTTACAATAAAAATCGCTTAGATTAAGAAAGATAAAGCTATTATTAAAGATTAGTTTACTATATAGTCCTTTATCTTAAATATACTATATAAGATTATACTTTAAGACTCTAAAGGAATACCTCTCTTTTAAGATAATTTCACTTAAGCTTATTTCGACTATAATTATTATATTATCTCACTTAAAGTTTTTATAAGAAATAAGAGTACCGCTTATTAAGAAGTCTTCGCGTTTAAGGCTACTCTTCGCTTCTTAGCTAAAACTATTAAAAAGGTAATAATTTTAAGAGTTCTATACACTATATATTATAATAAGTATCCTAAAAATTACTACTTTAATATTAAGGTTAAGTATATCCTTTAGACACTTTACTCGAAGAATATTCTTATTCTAGATCTTAATCTATACGTTAAGACTCTAGTAGATTATCTACGATACTCTAAAGTTATTAATATATATATCTACGAAACGAATTTTACCTTATAAAACTTTAATACTCTCTACAACTATCTTCTATAAGATAAATTAAAGCCCCCTATATTATAGTATATTCTAGAAAAATTTATAAGATTCTTAATTTAGAAGTTAGAGTTCGTTTTAGAGGAGATGCGTTTAGCTATTAAGAAGTATCGCGAATACTATTTCTTCTTTAACTTTAATAAGTTTATTATTATTAACTACTTCGTACCTCTAGATAAGTATAATATAACTAAGAACGTCGTTTAGATATAGTAAAACAAAACTTATTATATCTTCTTTTATAATATAATTAGCGGCGACTCTCGTATTTACTTAGGTCTCCTATATATATCTATAAATAAGTTCTTTAGAATATAATCTAGTAATAAGCTAAAGATTAATAAAATCTTATCTAGCTTCGAGAAATAAGAGACTATAAACGAAGAAGGAGTCGAGATAGCCTATATCGCTATTATCTTAAAACCCCTTCTAGACTTACTCGACTACTTAATTTTTCTAGTAATACCTAAGCACTAGAATAAGAAAGAAAAGATATTTCTTATCTAGAGTTAAATTAATAGTATCGCGATTATAGATTAGAATACTCTAGTAACGAACCTTTAAGAGCTAAAGAAGCGCAATACTACTTAAGTAAAGATTAATATACTTATTAACGAAACTTAATATAAGTATCGCGTTACTAGTATATTCGACTTAGTCGAATATCTAAACAACACTTATTCTTAAGTATATCCCCTTAAGAGTCTCTTAGTAGAAAATAATATCGCTATAGTATAGAAGTTTAATATTTATATTAATATATCTAAAGATACTAAGCCTAATATAGTTTATAAAAATTTAAATAAAGAATAATCTAATAGTATTAAACTCGCTTATAGTAGCCTCGCTAGAATAGTTATTATTTATAAATCTTCTAGTATTAGTAAGATATATACTATAGGTAAAATAGGCCGTTCTTTTATTATTACTAATAAGGAAGATAGATATATTTTCGCTACTTTAAGCTCTAATAAGTCTATTAATACTCTCGCCTATTATTTTAACTTCTATACTACGTGCCAGATTCTTGGAAGTCCGATTTCCTTTCCCGAACTAGCGGGTGAGCTCGCCGCTCTAACTCACCTTCTGCGCACCCTGTCACACCGTTTCACACCCCCTGGCTCACCCTCTGGCTCACTGGTGCGCCCATGACTCACCCACCAGCGCACCCTGGCTCACCTCGGTCTTGCCAAGCCGCGTCGCCCAACGCAAGGCAGTCATTGGCATGTGTAATTGGTGTGGATTTTCCCATCACCTACCGCCTGCATCATAATTGTTCACCGGCTGGGAAGACCGGTTGACCATGAAATACTCTCATTCCTCATACCCACCTTGATGGAACCAGAGCTTCCCCTCCGCAATGGCACTTGAGCTCGCATCGTTGTCCAGCCAGACCGGCCGAACGGCCACAGAGGCTGGCTTGCTCAAGATCATTTGGTGGCCAAGGCGGATATCAAGGACACAAAGGATATGGCTGTTACTCGAATGAGTATGCTCTTTGACCTATGTCTACTTCTATTGGAAGTCGAACTGGAGCCGTGCTCCTGGAAAATTCGCTGTTCGGACGCCTTATGCGTAAGAACTTTTCCTGCAATGAGAGTTGCGAAAGCAAGACACATGTCGCCGCTCGGCCTTTCACGACACCTCGTGTTGGAGGCTTGGTAGAGTTGCTGCTGGATCTATACCGACTGCGAAGCGATTCTTTTGGTTCTACATCTCGGCTCGGCGATTAGGAAGAGGTTGTTTGGAACACTTGATACTTGAAGCTTTGGCAGGAGAAATCGGTATTGTCGCCACTAAATTTCTCGAACCGGAGAGCGTGTCCTATGCCATTGTCAGGTCGCTTTGTGGGCCAACACCAGGCATGGTGGGAAAAACTGGCTAAGCTATTCTAATTTGGTAATTGGTCAAAGAACGATGAAAGGCTGTTCCCGTTCGTGTGCCTCATGGGAGGAACTCATATTGTGCGGTGAAATTGATGTCCTGTGCCAATCAATTACATCTCCTTTCCTTTTTTACTTCTAAACTCAGATAAACCACTCTCGTGAGAAGGATAGAAATGAGTAATGTCCCATCGGAACATACGCCGGCCTGTGGATCCTTAATCCGTGCCGGACATGATGCTGTCGCCCTCGCCGTATCCTGGACAAAGGGCAGTGTGCTGCACATGACAGGCTTGTTCAGCTGGACAATTCGACCCTCAGAGGAATATTTTTGCTTCACGTCCATCCCTGTTGAGAGGCACTCAAGGGGTGCTGGTGGACGAAGGTTGGTGGATCAACTTTGGCCTTCTCCAGGTCGTTCTCCCCAATGCCCACCACATCCGCGCAGTGGAATTTGGTAACACAGCCCTTATGATCGGAGTGAAAACTATATCACGTAGTGTGATATGCATTCAACCTGGACAACAGGACCTATTGCCAAGTCGGTAAAGCCGTGGTGGGCTTACGGAAATGCTCCGGGAACCCTCCTTTGTGGTGGCGGGATGGTTATCTTTTGTCTTGCATGAACCCTTTTCACGCGAGAACCCTCCATTCGCAGGTCACGCGTGGCTCTTGGTGTCTCCTCTTGTCTCTCATCTGGTCACCATGCATGGCCTATAGCGTCTTGCGATAGAGCAGCAAGGATATTTGGACCCGCACCCGTTGTAACCGGTGGCTCACTTCGCGATCCCTCTTTGATTGCCTTTGCATGGTAAGAGCTGTCTCTTGGTGGAAAAGAGAGTGTATGACGATCCTTAACATCCACTAGGAGCAATTGGCAGGAATGGTGGGCTGCAAAGCTCATGCGGCCCTTGTCGTTAATGCTCCTCCATCCACTTCTGTCTGGATTGGACTCAGCCCGCCTGTTATTTACCAGATATTTCATTGCTAGGAACAAGATGAGCGAGAAAGGAGCTTGTCTTCCACAACCCTGCCATCATTCGAAGGTAGTCATCCCCCCTCTGACTCTCATCTTAATTCATACTTCTCTCCTAACCCCTGGGAGTTTATCACTTCTGGGCTCAAATCATACCTAAGATGGGATTTTTTGGTAACTCTGTCTCATCCGGCCATCGACTTCTCAGAAATTTAATCTTGAACTTTGCAATCTTCCTTTGTGGAATCCTCATCTATCTCATGTTCACGAGGGACGCCGTCAACACCTGGATATTGAGGTCGAAAATATACATGGTCCTACTCATTCTCTTTATTGTCATCCACCACCTTCAGAGAAATGCTTGATGAGGGCGGCGGTGGTGGGAGAGGATGGTTTTCACGCCGCCTGTGAGCTGAGGTCTAATACCATGTGGTTGTCTAGACTAGAGATCTACGCTATGCTATGAAGACTACTAAGGAGTTTTGCAACAATAATGATCTGCTCTGATTTTACTATATGGAGGTGATCCTGGAAGAGAGCAAAAGTGAGAATGTAAAGGGTGGCCGACGCATCGGATTGATCAAGAGCAGGTTCTAGCTTATTAGCAAACCGCAGTTGCTACATACGAAACCTCGAGGGCGTAAGCCTTTTACTCTAGTCCGCTTTTCTTCCACCTGCTAGCGTCCCACACGGGGTGCGCAACTGAGACAAGGCAAATTCAAACACCTTCTTCACCTTAACCAACGGGTTCATGTTTATTTGCAAGAGGACCACCTAGGCTACCCGGAGGCACAAGAAGGAGGCACACCTATGACAGTAGAACATCTAGGATCCGTCACTATCGTTCCACCGTCTAGGTGTGCTGCTGTCCACGGGTCCTACTACTCGCCGCATTTCTGTTGGGTTTATTGAACAAGGTTGTGGAGGCAACCATCACACAGCGTCAGTCGCGGCTCTTATTGGGTCATGGTCGTTACCAGCCCTTGTTTATGGTGTGCGACGAGGAGTCAGGTATACAGCGACTGATAGTCGCTATGTGGTTGAATTTGCTCCACACACACCATGGTGTGCTGCGGTGGATGTTTCTCTGTCTACCTGAGAGGCATCCCTGGCATGCAATATGAAGCGCCTTGGAAATAGAGAAAAACCACATTCACCCAGCCGTGATACGTACTTATCGAGATTTGACCATAAACAAGGAAGATATTCCAAATCTGCCTCTAGCTTCCCGCACTCTACTAATGCCTCCTCAACCAGGACTATGGCTCTAAATTTTCGACGTATTTGTGATTTGTTTGAGCGGCTGTCGCCCTCACAGAAGCCAGACGACCGTGACCGAGTCATTCAGTCATGGTTTCAGCAGCACAATCCGACCATTGTGCGACAAGGATTGGGTGCTCTGGCTCTGTTGTCATGCTTTTTTCCCGAGAAGAGGCCCGATCGAGTCTATGGCCTTCGTGAAGTAAAGCTGGAAGGCATCGTCGTGAAGGCCGCCGGTTTAGGTCATACACGCATCTCTGAACTACGACGCCTCCAAGAGAATCAGCGGATGGACTTTGCTTCTGCGGTTGAACGAGTCCTTGCAGCGACCGACGATGTCCACGAACATACCCACTCGTTATCTGTCATGGATGTGGACCAGACGTTGGACCGACTGGCAGCCACATGCCCGTTCTCTTCTCCTAAGCATCGAGCAATGATGGGAGAGGTCCCCCAAGATCCGATTGATGAGCTTATGAGCATCTTCAGACGACTACACAGCATGGAAGCGAAATGGCTCATCCGTCTGATATTGAAAGATTTGCAGCCAGCGGAGATGCCACCCGTGGTGATTCTCCAGCAGTTTCATTTCTTAATGCCTGACCTCTTCAGAACCCGCACCAACCTTATCGATGCGCTCGAGCTCCTCGACTGCGATATCATCCGGCGGATGCCGCTCTGCCCCACTCCAGACGTGGCAAAACAGCTCAGAGAGGAGGTATTACTTCAGATGCAGCCTCGGGCAGGCACGATGATTGCTCTGCAACCTTTTCAAAAAGCTCGCAGCCTCAAACACTGCCGTCGACTAGCCGGAAACAAAGAGATCAGTGTTGAGCGAAAGTATGACGGTGAATACTGTCAGATCCATGTGTCGATGGCCAACGGCGCCTCTCGTATTACCATATTCTCCAAGAGTGGACGGGATTCGACCATGGATCGAGAGGGGCTCCATGACACAATTCGGCAGTGTTTAGCCATTGGTACTACAGGCTGCAAATTTAGGCGACAATGCGTCCTCAGTGGAAAATTATTGATCTGGAACGACCGCACGCGTCGTATTATGCCGTTCTACAAGATCCGTCGCTATGTCTCCCGGGAAGGGCGCCAACTGGGATGTAGTCGGGATTCGCCTCCTTGCGAGGATGAACATCTGATGATCATGTTTTACGACCTTCTTATTCTCGACGACAATATGTGTGTTCATGAGCCGCACAATGTCCGACGTCGCAGGCTTTGGGCCACGGTCTATCGGATCCCCGGTCGAGCTGACATCGGTCACAGAGTGAAAATAGATCTGAGACTCGTCGACGGAGCCACTCGTCTCGGGGAAGAAATGACGTCGGCCATAGCTCGGGGCTGGGAAGGCTTGGTAGTTAAAGATTGCGAAGCTCCATACCTCTCAATTCACGGGGATGTGCAGCTAATCAAGCTGAAGAAAGATTACATTCCGGGTTTAGGCGACTCAGCCGATTTGGTAGTCGTGGGCGGCCGTTACGACACCAAAGAAATATGGGCGCAGAGCGAAAAAGGTATCCGGTGGACAACATTCTACTTGGCCTGCTTGAGCAACAAGGAGGCAGTGTTGCGTTTAGAGGCTAAACCCGTCTTTCAGATGGTAGCCAGTGTTACACGACCTTGCCTGTCGATGGCAGATGTTCGGCACCTGAATTGCTACGGTGCATCCCACCAAGTTCCTTTCGCGGAATACATCAGCCAGATGGAGGTTGAAATTGGATCCATGGCCCCCAGTCGACCAACTGAGCTGTTCATAGAACCAGCGGTCGTCGAAGTCGTAGGGGCTGGATTTGATCGTCCGGCGAATCAACGGTTCTTGACATTACGCTTCCCTCGAATCGTCAAGATTCATCGGGATCGGACATTCGAAGACTCGCTCGATTTTATCGAGTATCAGCGATTAGCTCAAGAAAGTATGGCTTGGCTGGCGGAAGAGGACGTTGGTGGACAACGACAGACATCTTATGCATCCTCATCGTTCCAAGGCGTAGAGTCTGTACGTTCAACTTCAACCCCAATCATAGACTCTGGAACAGGAAGAGGTGGCGATGATGAAAATGAGACCAATGAGGACGAGAATCCGGATGAAGTATCTCTTTCGGTAACTGGGCGTCGAGGTCAAATGACAAAGCGGCCTGGATCAGCGGAGCACTTCCCCAATTTGGCTGCATCTTGCAAGAAGATAAGAATTTTATCGACATCAAAGAGTGAAAAGGCACGACACGAGCGCGAGACAACCCCAATGACCGTTCAACAGACCACGAGCCAGATACTAGATACTAATGTTGGGGCAATATGCAATCCTCCTCCTGCTCTCGCCGCTCACGATGCGTCATTGGACGCGAGGGCGATGGCCAGTCCAGAACAGGAGTCTTCCATCCATGTGGGCTTCCGATTGTCTCTCAGAAATATTGCAACACCAATCCTTCTTGATGAGTCGTTGAGTGGAATATGGTCGGAATCTGGCCAGGAATTGTTAGGGTTATGCGTGAAGTGTCCTTTGCCGCTCACCTACAACAAACATATCGTTCTGGACCACCTTATCGGCCAACAAATGATGTCGGCTGGCGGTGAAGATCACATGATGGCTACTCATGTGGTCCTTGTACACTGGCCTTCAGTGGAGATGGTGCTGGCTGGGATCAACCCTTGGCTGCGTCGTCTGGAACACAACGAGCAGCTTTTCCTTCCCCCAACATGCTGGAATATCATCTTTCTAGAATGGAAAGCTCTTGGAGGTCTGAAAGAAGATCCAGCTGAGTCATCTCATATTCTTATGGATTTCATTCAAGGCTATATCGAGTGCAGGGGTGGCCGTCTAGATTTTTTTGGTCGGGCTCTTGGTGCGCCGAGATGTTCTAATGTATGACTTTTGATCCTAGATACAACTAGATCAAGCTTACGGGTTACTGGGCTGCACTATATGCATTGACTCCACAGTATGAATCTGTGTTTATCATCCCAAGTTCGTACCTTACCCTGGTTGCTGCTGCTCTTATATCAGGCTACCAAAAGTTTTGAGTCTAAGTTTCCGAAGAATGCTGGAGAATTTCGGCGCGCGTTTCGACCTCTGGCGGGTCATGCATTGTAGGGTAGTTCATAGCTGACTCCATGTTTCCGCCATGTGCTTTGCAGCCACGGCATCGCTTGATTTGGGTGGCGAGTCGTAAGTCTCGGACTGATCACTTGCTTCTCCTCCTCACGGCAATCCTGCTACGAAGTTCTTGCGTGAATATCACGAGACATAAGGCAATGGCCTACGTCTTCTGCTCAGCGTCTGTGAGAAATAGTATTTCATGGAGGGACATACCAGTTTAATACACAAGGACAGGATGATTCCTGCGACAAGAACCTGAACACCGGAAAGTGCCAAATCGAATATCGTAAAAGAATCGTCATGGTTGGTGATACTCTCGGCCTTTTCACTGTCGAGATATGTAGTTGATATTGCTTCCTAATCGCCTTTTATCAATGAAGGTGATTTCGATGGAAATGGTAGACTAAAAAGGAGGAAAGCTTACCATACCGAAACCTTTGAACGAGTTGAAAGTAGGGAGAAAGTAGAAACCAGCGTCAATGAATTCCATTATCTGGTTGCTCGCTCATGTACGGGACCACTTTGCTCTTGACAGATGTGCACTTTCCTTCTCCATGTGCCATGTTTCCCACTCCCCTGATACACCAATCCCCTCCAACTCTACTCTTTTTCTTCTTCTACCTTACAAAGTTGGCTTGGGCCCTTCATCTTTGTTAGTACTTGGAATGTCGGATGCATAGGCATAGTCAGAACCTATTGCTATCGCACAATGGAGGATGGTCCAGTAACCACCATCCTCCAAGAATAAGAGTCTAGTCTGCATCCAGAGAGGGCGAACCATTTCACCGTCGTCGAGCTTTGTGCCTTCTAAGCATTGACACCACTCTTCCGACCCACTTTTTCAAGAGTAAACTGAGTTTCAGAGCACTACCTGGATTTTGGACCAGGCTCAAGAGCCTCTTGCCATCTTGATCATTGAGATTCTCGAAGCCACGTAACCTGAAATGCCAGGGACGGTGTAATTGGATCGATACGTGCTACCCACGACGCAATGCATTCTCTAGGCAACAGCGTGCATTCCAGCAACGACTCCGGACTGTCGCTACTGGGGTCCAAGTGTGGGTCAGAGCAGGACGTGGTATTCCACAAGTTCCTACTGTCCGAATCGCCCTGGGAGCTCTAGGCGAGGCATTTGTGCTATTGGACTGCTCTCAGTCGTTGCATCAGATCAGAGCTCTCTCGCAAGGTTAGCCTTGTCTAACTATGGCAGAAACGATGTGAGACCTGTTGGTTGTTAACCAACAAGTGCTTGGTGGATCGTTTCTTGTTAAATATGAATGAAGTATGGAGAAGGAAGTTTGACAGAGCACAAATATTCGATTCAGTAGAGGATCATGGTGAGATATGTTCAAAGATTGATTATACAGATCAAATTAGCTAATAACAATGTGAAATCACAAAGACTTCGAGTTCGAATCGCTTTTACCTGGACAGGGCCCCAAATCTCTGACCTGTAAGCAAATTAGAAACATGTATTCCAGAGAATGTGACAACCACAATCCACCCTGGACGGTGTAAAGTCGTGTCGCATCTTCGCCGCTTTAAGCTGTGACAAACTCGATGAATAGAAAATCGACAGTGGCTGGTGCGTGCGATTTACCCTGTGTGTGGACCAATTCCCAGATGCTGCTCTTCAGGGATCGTAGCCCGCTAGCCTGTGCTGACGGTTTGCAGAACTTATACACCACGCTTGAGGACCATGGAAGTATAAAACCCGTCATAACCGTCGTAGGCCGTTTAGTTCTCTTGCTTCCTCTTCAAGAGATCCCGTTGCTCGAAACTGAAGCACCGAATGGCTCGCACAAAGCAGACTGTGAGTATAGACCCATCACTGTGGTGTATTATGTTCACCATTCCAGGCTCGTCATCGACGTCATCGTCCCTGGACTGGCGGAAAACAACCTCGAAAAGACCTCAAATCGAAAGCAGCGGGCAGACCACTGCTTACGGCTCGAAAGTCTGTGTTGACGACGGGCGGTGGTAAGTTTTCCATGACGAACCCCACCTTATGGCGTACTGACAGACGCACAGTCAAAAGGGCTCGGCGATACAGGCCTGGCACAGTTGCCCTTCGCGAGATACGACGTTATCAAGTCCGTTGAAGGTACTTCATATTTGCGCAATTTGGCTGATGCATATCAAGAAATCCGCCGATTTACTGATCCGGAAACTCCCCTTCCAGCGGCTTGTGAGAGAAATCGCGCAAGACTATATGCACGACGTACGATTTCAGTCTTCTGCCATCGGTGCCTTGCAAGAGTCTGTTGAAGCGTATCTTGTATCTCTTTTTGAAGATACAAATCTATGTGCGATACATGCCAAAAGGGTCACTATACAAAGTAAGGACATCCAACTAGCGCGTCGGCTTCGAGGAGAGCGATGTTAGGAGGAAAGGAGACGAAATCAGGGAAATGTCATTCTAAGTACTCGAGTTCGGTATCTTGAGGCAAGAGTTAAGATATAAACTGGATTCAAAAAATAACTACTGCTTCATTTACTCAATCGCTTCTTGTCTGCATCGGAGTGATAGTGCCATGGCCACCCTTTCATCACGAGACCACACCACAACTGTGTTCAGTTTTTTCTGCCATTCGTCTCAATTAACATACATGCGTTCTTCATGGCCTACTGGGCATATATTAGCGCCAAGTGTCGTCTCAAATTTTCGACCTTTGACAAATTTGGGTAGATCCGGGCAGATCAGTGTTCCTTCGCCCCGACACAATTCTCCGCCGCGATGAGAGTTGGCTCGAATCGATCTATCGCAGCAATGAGAGCCCTCAGCTCCGTCACCCAAGACATTGAATAAGGGATGGCCAGAGTCTCCCAGGTCCAAAATTCTGACCGACACCATGGACAGTTGACCTCAAAGACATCCTTCGAACCGAGGGTCAGCGCCGTGTCTGCGTACCCATCAGCGAGAGCTTGCTGGAGACACTCTGAGCACAACAAGGTACCGCAGTTGGTGACGTGGCGGTACTGGCTGTGGTTCGGATTACAGGACCGTACTGACCTTTGTGCAAATTGGCTGAGGTGGTTGCCAATCAACCGAATCACTTCCAGAGCGCCTCCCCTGTTCGATAGACTGGCAACTGCCATCTTGACGGTGACCAATTCTTGGCGCATATCCTGAAGCTCGCGGGCAGCCATCTTAAGCTGATCTCTGAAGGTGGCTGTGTCGCCCTCAGCGGCAACCAGGCGAGCGCTCATCTCTTGCTGCGCACTCTCGTTTTCGTCTTTTAACTTCAATATCCATTGCAAGAGTTTTGAGATTTTGTCGTTCTTTTCGGTCAAAGCTGCGGACTGAACTTTAATCTCGGATTGTTTCTGGTGTAGCTCTTGTCTCATTTCAGCCGTGGTGTCCTGTGACTCACAAATTTCGAGTTTGAGCAACTTGATTTCCCTCTGGTGTTTGGCAGTTTTCGACTCGGCTCGTCTTTTCAATCTCTCAAGTTGTTGTTCCACAGCCCGTCTTTTGCGCTTTTCTTCGCCTGCTTCATAATGGAACGAGTGTATTTCTGCCTTGGACTGGTCCTGCAGCTCTTCAAATCTCTGTCGCGACAACATGTCGGCATCTTGGTATCTTTCCCTGATGTGCTCTAATTCCTGCTTCAACTCCTCGACTTGTAGGCTTCTCTGCGAAAGTTCCTTCTCTACTGCCTGGAAATTCGCCCTAAGTTCGTTAATTTCGACCTGGTTCTTGGATATCGTGTCATTCTGCTCTCTCAAAAGCTGAGCCTTGCCCTGTTCTTCATGAATTGTTGAAGCAACAACCTGTTTCATCCTCTCGATCTTGGCCTCAAGTTGCTTGACCTTTTGGCGAGCCTTGAGGGATTTCCGCATGTGATCGTCCTTGCCCTCTTTGGCACGGACTTGCTCATAGGCCACCAATTGTTCCAATTCCCTAGCTCGTTCTCCTTGTTCGCTGATGGTGTGTTTTAGATTGGCATCCCGATCCTGAGCATGTGACTGCCATAGCAGGAGTTCGCCTCGTTGTCGTTCCAGCTCGTCGGCGTGCTCGCTTGCATTTTCCAATCTTTCCATCATCGTACGGAATAGCATGTCTAGCTTGCATTGGGTCTCATTGACCACAGAGGAGAATTCTTCGGCCATGGTAGTATGTCTGACGACGTGCTCCAAGCAACTTGTCAGTATTCAAAGTGTATGGACCTGGTGTTCAGGGGTCACGGTCACGCCAGGACGGCAGTACTAGAACCGAGATAAAATCTTGAGGATGAGGTATGGGAAGGGATAGAGATAGAGATGAAGGATGAGGAGGGCTGTTTATATGTCTGTATCTGTGCTGAAATTCTCCTCCTTCAACTCCAGGGTGGTCGTGACGCCCAGAATGTCACTGCCGCCTTACGTACCCATAGAGATGCAATGCCAAGGGGTCGACTTTCATCCACATTTACCCTTTCAATGGAACTTGGTTTTGCCGACTGTGAGCATGGCCACCACCCAGTCGTGAACCCTGTTCTTCCATGCACCTTATTCGTCTAGGGTAGTTCTCATCCACAGCTACTGTCATCTGGTTGCGGTCATGCTGGTCTCGGACCTGACTGGGTGCATGAGCTTTCGTTGCTCGTTTCAGGGTATTGAGATGGTTTTCTAGCGCTGTACACCCCTGAATGTCACTTCCCCAAGATAGACATCTTTTCGTGCTCACCTCTGCTGTTATACCGTCTCAAACTTCCTTACCTCAACAAGCTGGAAGGCTCATCAAAGTTTGAATGCCCCTGTATTAGTATTTGAGTGTGTGCCATCAGATTCAACGGATCAGCTAGGATCGTTGAGTAGTATCAACGGTTTAGTTTACTGATTGTAGAGAACATGCGGTTGACCTCATCAGTTGCTCGAATGAAGTGACGAGGCATACACAGTCAACCTCTCCGTCTGCATGATTGCCTTGTACCTAGAAGATCTACGTGATATGCGCAAACCAATGAATCAGAGAAGTCGACGATGTGCTTTTGCAGAAAGAAGCGTGGGGGTTTCTCTGCTCAAGGGTTTGACAAGGGCAGAAAAGTCTCCCTTAGCCCAACATATTACCAAAGACTTCGTCATATGGGGGACGACAAGATCCGTTCTCGTGCTCATTTTCTTGTTCAAATTCTGGCCCTAAAAAAAGCCACGTGTTATTGTTATCACGTGTTCCACTTGCGTCGTCCTAGCTGACTGTGTTACCCAGGAGTAAATTCCTAGCGATCTAGAGATCCCAGGAGCAAAATCCTGGGAAGTTAGACGTCCTCACCGTACCGTGGTACTAGTACAAATACTCCAGGAGATACTAGTACCCGAGGAGTAATGGTCGAGGACACATTTTCACCCCAATGTATCATGTACCTAGGACGTATGTACTGGCTCCAGAGCATTACTAGGTCCTTTAACCCTTTTTGTTCCTCTTGGACTGCTCACTTTCTACTATGGTAGTATATGCAAGTACATTTGCGGAGTCAAGTAGTTGATCATCAACTTCTAGATCTCTTTGTGGAAGTAGGATGATCGTATTTGTCCCGTCCATCGTCACAGCCTCAAAGCAATCTTCTGGCGCTAACAGTTGCATATTCGTATCAAGTAGTCGTAGCCCTTTGCGCATATTCTTCTTCGCTATCCGTATCAGCTCTGTTGGATCGCTACGATCCACCCACAGGGACTGCACATTCCTCCATATCAAGTTCTCCCGGATTTTGAAATGAATATAGACCATATCACGTCCTTGTCGTGGCAATCTCTCCCGTTGTTCTTGCTCACGTTCTTGCTGTCCCTTTCCTTGTCGATCTTGTTCTCGTCGTTCTTGTTCTCGTCGTTCTTGTTCTCGTCGTTCTTGTTCTCGTCGTTCTTGTTCTCGTCGTTCTTGGTCTTCCCTGGCTTGTCTCTCTTCCCGCTCCTTTCGCTGTTGTGCCTGTCGCTCTTCCCGCAATAACTGCAGCCGTTCTTGCTCCTGCCTCTCCTGCCGTTCCTGCTCTAATTGCTCTGATTCTCCTTCACTGGCATCTTCACTGGCATCCTGCATGCGGGAATTGCCGTATTGAGTTGAGCTCAATGCAACCAACGCCCCGGGCCGTAAAGCTGTCTTCTTTTCTGGTTGACCTAGAAAGGCGAAATACGTTGCTCTAAGCACAAAAAACGACGTGATGCCTTCGCCTTGCTCAATATGGTCATCATGGAGGAAGTGGAGGAACAAGAAATCACGATCTTCCTGAAAAGTCTCCCAGACCGGCAGTCCACACCGCCGCTTCAACGTCTCCCCAGGCCCTGATGTGACCAAAGGTGGCCTAGTTGGTGCGGATAGGACCTGTTGTCCCATATTATTCAGATATCCATGTAACCGGTGAATTTCAGGAGATTCGAATCCAAGTCGAATGGCCAATTCAGCGAACTGACCAAGAATTGCCTTATCTGCCTTCACCCGTGGCCTTACTGTGACAACATCGTCGACTGGCTCCCGCGGAATATTTACAAAGTTTCTCATGGCAAAAGCCAAAATCTGGCGATAACCGAGCTCGACTTGATCATCTGACGATCCGGGAGTGGCTGCAAAATTCGACTCGTTGACCTGTATCACAATCTGGCCATCACGCTGGTTGACACCGGTGAAATGTCCTTCAAAGGCCGTCAGGAGGGTGTCTCGGCGTGATAGGGTCGTCAAATGTCTCACACTCTCCACGCATGCCTCCCAGTAAGGAAAATTCCTAAAGAAGGTGTAGAGAGATGGGATGAGGGAATTATATTGAGAGAGCCGGCGGAGGACCTCCCTTCGAACCTCTTCACTGCAGGCACTGAAGATCTTCCCGGCATCAATTTGGTGTCGAATCTCGTCTGCATCGCCTGTGGAGACACCAGGAGCTTTGAGCTCCAATGCCTGAACGGTCCCATCGTCGATTTGCTTCATTACGCTAACATCATTATCCACTAGATCACACCAAAATCTCCGGACGTGCTCGAGGTAGTGCAGAACTTCCTGTGTCCTGTCAGCATGCTTAAAGGGATTATCCACAGTCGACCTACGTCATCAGACTTCAGTGTCAACACTTTGTGGATGGTTGTTAATTGCATACCCTTCCACAAACCTGGCACGTCAAGCATTGCGTCAAAAGCGGCAGTGAGTTCGGCGTGTTTCAGTAGGCTTTTCAGATTCCTCGTACGGCAGCCTCGGAGGCGAGCCCACCATCGTGATTCAAAAGTGAAATTGCGTTGAAAATGGTATTGACGGATATTGCGGTATATTTCGCCGTCTGACGGAATCTTCTCGTTTGAATACTCCTCAATGAGACTTCGTTGGACGTCCGAAGATAGGTCTAATGTGTACACGTGAGAGAAGCTCAGTTGCAATGGACACACCCACTCACCCGACAGGTAGAGGTCAACGACCCACCACTTATCTCGACGGGAGAGAAATTCACGACCGGCTTGGATTCGGTGTTTGCCATGGAGGCATCTGAGCCGAGTTCCTGTGCGTAATCGTAACTCCGGATAGTCAACTGACCTAGGCATCATTAGAGCAGCTGCAGAAACCCCAGATAAATCTAATGCGGCGTCGAGATCAGATTGATCAATGAGAGCAAGGATATGGTTTCTGATCGGTTCCGGTAGACAGCCTTCATGTCGATACGCTTCTTTGAGGCGTTCCACGTTGCTTAAGTCAATCTTCGAAGACTCATCCATAGGGAACTGTAACAGGTCAAGGGAGATACGCGCAGCACCGCGAAATCTAGTCCGTCGCTGTTCTTCGAGTTTCACCCCTTCCAACCGTCCTCGACGCTGTCTCATTAGGTGAATTCGACGAGGCGTCAGCGTAGATAAGAAGAGAGCAAAAGGTCAAAGGTCAAATATCGACAACCCAATATCCAGCGGTCGATAGCGAGAGCCAGTCCACCGAAGGGTTCTGCAATGATAAATGCAGGGAAACGTCTTCAGAAGGTGTTAGCTGGGAATTGCGCATGGGTGCCACAGGTATGTACTGTAACTTCGGGACAAAATACATAAAATGGAAACCACAAGAACTTGAGGTGTGTGACATACAGAAAATTTACGGATAAATGTCCGGGAGGTTTTTGCTTCTCTAATTTGAAGACAGGGCGTTTTACCTGCACACTGAAATTCTTTATATCTCGCTGTGGATGCTCCCAACTCATCCTTTGTCTAAGTCTTGCCCATCGCTCATGAACGACCTATGTCCTATATCCATGCTAGTATTGTGATAGCAGCGACAAATTTGACGCACATAACATAAGAAGAGGTTTGCAAACCATTCGACATTTTTTGGACAAGACGGGGGGTTATTCCCAGGCGTTTGTAACCCTACTGTGCAAAAATCCTGACCTCGGTACCAAATAATGGCCGTTGATGGTGTGATCTATAAATTTGAGCTTGCATTATTGAGTGATAAGCACTGCAAACGTCGTTCCAATGATGTCATACTCACATCCCTACTCCCGCAAATGCAGCCTCGCCAGCTCGTATATAGTATCGTCTCGCACATCGGCGTCAATTTCTCATCTCTAAATTTTAAAGGGTTGAAATTCCATCTCTGCAAGCTCCACGTTCAGCTCCAGACGCCTTTGTGCCATCTTTCGAATTTTATCTCGAGTCTCTGTAAACCCCGATACTAGTCATTGGATCAGCACCCACAATTAGACGCAGCTGAGATACTCACCTAGAACAAGAAACCTCTCCTCCAGTGGTTGTGTCACATTTTCTATGCTGTCACCCTCAGGAGTAAATCGATCTAATGCGCTTCTTTCGCCCGAGTGGTAACTTATTTCGTACCTGTGCTCGTCAGTAGAATATGCGGAGGAAGCACTCTGTCGAGCATGACCTGCGTTCAACGTGTGCGCGGGTCTGTGCTCGGCGGATGCAAGCTCATGATCCTTCACCGATTGCGTTTGGCGACTAGCCAAGGAGCCCAGGACCTTCTGTTCCGGCCACAGCTGACTGAGCTGTCCACTAAATATTAGGTCTTTCTCTATTAGACTTTCGAAATCCGCCAATCCCGGATAAACGGTACTCCGTCTCCCAAATGACACCTTCGAAACATCATTGAGGTTCACATAGATCGAGATTTGGAGAATCTGGCTTCTGGTCAGTGACTGCCCGCGAACAGCGAAGCAACATACACCACCGCTCTCGAGCTTGTCCTGATCTAGCGCCTCATTCAGAAATGGCTGTGCTGCGATGCCTACATCTGATTTGGTTAGAATGGATCAAGTTCAAGCATTTGATTGGCCGCACTGATGTCACTTATCTGCCAGATCAAGTGGATTCTGCGGGTGAAAACTTGGCGAGCGTGATAGCCATGGATCAGCCTCTTCAAGTGTGGTAGTTGGGCAGCTATGCCGGCACCATCTGCAATCATCATCACCTTTTCATACTTGCCAGTCGGAATAGTTTGGCCATGTGGACCACTAAACATAACCCACTTGTTGTCCGTCTGCGTTCCCCGGTTGGCGAGGTGGAGAAGGTTTCTCGTAAAGCCCTGGCGCGGTTGTATGAAGATGTCAAGGGTGGTTTGTGGCGTGGCTGCCCAGGAGGTCACCACGAATGGGTGACTCTGTAGAAAAGACCAAAAGCTCACTGAAGGCATCCACAGATTGATGTGTTGACCTGGTTCAATCTTCAAGGGCCGAGAAAGATGTAATCTGAGTTTAACCATTCCGCATGAACCAGTGATGGTGGCTCGTGAGCGTCTGTGACGGAAGCATCCACTTCGAATGAAAACATTAATTCCTTCGAGTGCAAATGTCGTACCAAACACACCCGCAAATCCGTACAGATAAACGCGAGGGAACATCTGTTCCGCAGGTAAATGGTGCCATATCGAATAAGCACAAAGAAGAGCCAGGGCTTGGTGAGTTCGAAGGAAGATTTCGTATGAGGGCTTCCGGAAAATACGCCACGACAAAATCGCCAGCCAGCCCAATGCCGAGCCCGCCTAAAGAAGTTAGCGTAAATAATATGTGAAAAGGTGAAGATCTCACAATGATAACAAAGGGATGGAAGGACTCGGTCTGGAACGCTGATTTCTCCGTTGCCGCCAAAATAACGACATGAAACACAGCAAGTGCAAAAGCAGCGAGACTAGCCAGACGATGTACACGTTTGACTGTTTTCAAAGGAAGCCCCAATACGGTCGCGAGAAAATCGAGATGGAAAACCCCCAAAAGCGGACCTATATTGATCAAGGATAACGTCCCAGCGCGCCGACCTGCATGGGACAAGTCGTCGACCTCAAAGCAAAGACAAAACACATTCACCGTCAGGTACACCACCTGGATCATGGCAGTGGCTACGCTCCATGGACCTATCAGTGCATGACGGTTGAGGATGTAACTATAAGTTAGGCGTTTCGATGTTTGAAGAGTGATATCAGTCATAAATTGCTGTGTGGAAAGGATATTCCTGAGGAGAAAGCATAACGCAATACCGAAGACGATGATCGCATATATCTGACTGATATCCATGTGAAACAAGTCTGAGCACGGGGGTGGCACTGGGAGATTAGAAAAAGCAAACAGATGACTTTAGAGGAGATCCAAGGGCGCAATGGAATTTCGGGCGTCTTATCCCAACATATCAGTGGTACCATAGCATTTCCCACGCAATCCTGTGGCTGCGAATGATCGAGGTGCAGAATGATCCTCGGCTCCTCGCACCTTCTTCCCTTACTCATGATATTTGTATGCCCGCCGGCAAAACGACGCCAACTCATGTAGCAATTCCAGCTCTTCTTTGCGCCATGGAAGCTTGAGGAATGCGTGCTGGAAGTGTCAGCTGTCGTCTTCCATCTTTGATGGTGCTTACCTGCATCAATTCTTGAATAGACGTTGTAGTGTTGGTCATCAACAAAAATTTTACCGGCTCAGAACTCTCTGACCATCGATTCAGATTATCGATGCCAATAGTACCATCATCCTTTGCATACTTCTGCATCAACTGCATTGCAATGCCGCCTAACGCTCTTACGTCTGAGTGATCCCTTCCGCTTGCATTGTAGCAACACTCTTGGTTAGCTATCACTCTGTCAGCAATGTAAAAAATTCAGGTCGATTGTGACTGACCTAGTTTAATTTCGCCGTTTGGCTTCAGGAGTACGTTGGAGCATTTCAATGACCCATGCCGCAATCCTTTCGAGGATAGATAGCTGAGGCCTTCAACGATCTAGTTCCATTAGCGGCGGATATAATGATAGCCATGGAGTTTAGTTCACCTGCCCAATAATGGCTGCGAGTTGCCGCTCGGTTGGATAGGCTGGGCAATTCACCACCTGGACGAGGGTGACGAAAATGTGCTCGAAAACGGCGTAATATGTGTCACCAACCTCAAAAATTTCTAGCAAGTTGACAAATCTCTCATGACGGACGCTCCACAACATCTCAATTTTTCGATCCCCATCTTGCCGATCGAATTCCCTGATGGCGACCTTGCCGGCCCCAGGGGCTTTGCGAACTGCGACCGTAACAAATTGGTCCAGCTTGAGATCGTATCCGCTCTTGTAAGCCTTCCAAGGGGACTCGTGCTTGATTCTGTTGATCTTTTGATTCTGACCATGTCGTGGCTTGGCGAACGGTGTATACTCTTTAACATAATTCCTGAGAGCTGATGTGTCCTCCATTGCTAAGCTCTGCTGGGCATCTTTTCCTGCCTCATCAGGGGAATTTGTACGTTCTGTTGTTCGAGATCTGAGATCGCCCCATATTGATTCCAGATGAAGCTTGGAGTCACGATTTTGGTCTTTGAGAGGTATTCGAAGATTGCGATCAAGATCGGAAGACATGATTGAGAGTGGGTTTGAGAGACAGGTGGTCAGGATGAAGTGAGAGGTTACAATACTATACTTGGGACGACAACTGGTTAGAGTACGATATACAATAGTAGCAGAGGAGGAAATGGCAACCTCGCCAAGGGGCCCTGCTTGACCCTGAATACTAAACGGCGCCTTGGGTCCTTCCGAAGGTTAATACTTTTCTGGTTGAGCTGTAAAGGTGGTTACCCTGAAAGTTTCTCGCGGTCTCGGGACGGCGGTCGCTTGTCGAGGTCGCATGAATAGCTTTCCGAAGATGTCTCGGATATGTGTTGGATTCTGTATGTCACTAGACTTGTTTCTGGAAAATACCTTCACAGTCATTGTAGAATTCCACGAAGAACAGTGAAGCACACCGCGAGGGCAGAGAAGACTTCCGCAGAAAGGGATGGTCAACTACTGCTCATTACGATAAAATTTATAACACAATCGGTATAGTCCCTTTAAAAATAATTTCATAGAGAACAGTGGCACAGTTCCACAGAAACCAGGAAGCGACATAGGGGCAGCGGTGTTACTACAACAAACACGATGGATGGCCAAAACGGGCGCCTCAAAAGGCATTACAATAATACCGCAATTATCACTTCGTGCGGACTGGGAACATGACTGGGGTGGAGCTCAGGTTGTTCTAACAGAAGTCTGCAGAGCCTAGTCAAGAGCGCACTACGGATTACTCATTCCGCTGCTTCGGCCATAAGGAACACATTCCCAGCGAGGCATAACTCCCAGGTGGCGTCTTCGCTCTGAAGCTATGTATGCAAACTTCTCAACGTCGAAATATTGACTGCAAACTCGTCCTTTTCCGTGATTCCGTGGATAGTTTCTCTCAACAGACACCCTTGACCGCGAGATTATGAACAGTGCTCTTCTCATCCATCTGCACGAAGGTTTGATGACTTCCCTGCCAACGACACAAGTGATATCAAATCACTCTGCCGCCAACAGCAGTCCAGAAAGGGGTGCTGCGATGCCTCAGTTGATACGTTCTGAAAGGATACATGGAAAAGGGCAAAAGACAAACATGTTCGAGACACCTTGCTGACTCTGTCGATGGTCGTCTGAGAAAGTCCACCAGGTGTGATGAATAGTGTTCGATATCCGACTTTCGTTCCGAGTCTTCGCTTTTTGTCGCCAACATCGTAACAACGTTTCCAATGTCATTCACGTCACAAAGACAATTGATTTTGACATTGCCACCGCTCCTTCGGCAAATTTCAGGCTCGGCTATACTAAATCCAAAGTTTTTGGGACAAATGCCTGAAGACAGAAACACACCGATCGTAATCATTCCCGCTCGGCTAACCCAAATGTTTCCCAGGTTTAAATTTCCATGTGCCAAGTGGTGAGCTTCGAGAAAACTGAGCGCTTGCATCAACTGCGTTTTATCAGTACGTGGAAGGGCACTGGCATGTATAGGAGACTTTCCTGTCCTCCAATGGCAGCGAGCTCCTTCTCCGTGGGAATTCTCAAGCTCTCAGAGATGTGTAGAAGATTTAGATCCACATATTCACACACAACATCCACCATGGAACCTGAGAAGAAGATCTCAATTGTTTTGGGAAAATAGCGCTGTCGGCGGAACTGAGCCAGGATCCTCAATTCACGGTAGAGGCTTTCGTTGCTCATTTGTCGAACTAGGACACAGGTACCTAAACGGCCATTTTCTTGGGCAACGCTTACCAGCCCGTTCAACTCAATCTCGTCTTTTTGAAGATATTTGGTCACACTGATGAACTCATTAACCCTACTCGAGTGAACTTCCAGCGGTAATTTAGGTGGCAAAATCTTAGCATATGTCCGAGGGAATTCGGGAATTTTCCGCTCCTCAGACACATCCTTTGGTGGTTTCATCCTCCCTTCATGCTGCATGACTTCTATCTGATCAGTTTCGGAGGAGGTGAAGGGTTTGGGAGTAGAAATGGCCACGATCGAAGCAACAGGCTACACATAAATACAGGATAGAGTGCAGTCCGGTAGATATAGTACAGTAATGGATACGATAGTATGGTTTTGTTGCAGACATCCAGTACTCTTGCCCACCGACCGTCTGTCATGGAGCTCTGCAACTGGATTTTGCCCCTGCTCGTCATGACCTCTACCATCGTTTCTTCTGGAATCGCCACGTGTCCGGGCAATGTACCAGAACCAAATCTGGCTTACTCAATGAGAGGATGTCAACGTGGAACAGCCAAGCCACATGTTGGACGTGTTTGGGTCGCACAATCGTACAGGTGAATCTATACAAGGCAATTTAGGCGACTCAGTGAGGATGTGGATGAGATCTCTGTCTCCTCCCACTTTATGGTACTGTTCTGGTTTATATATACAAACCTGCTAGGCAAATGTCTTCCAGGAGCCCCTTTTCCATGATTTCAAAGCATTCCAGATGCTGAAGCATTACTGCCGTGATTGATCAACAAAGGAGGCATTCCGGCCCGCGCCATATAGATTAGGATGCAAGAGGAGAAGAAGAACGGTGATATCAACGTGGCAGTCATTTGACGCTGAGAATTCGTAATACTCACCAATGCATTTCCCGTATCATGAATTTCGTCGAGGAACTTCATGCTGGGAAGGGTGGTAATCCTTTCAGGTTCCCCCTGCCCCTTGTAGCCTCGCGGCGGCGGTCACCGTTGGGGCCGCATGAATGACGGTTCAGACCACGTGTCAGACGTTTTCTTCTGATTTTCCATGGTTGGAATGATCCGCGACACGTGTCGTCAATATCTGTCCATTGGTGTGCTCGTATCTGCAGCCGTCCACTTTGGGTATTGCTATTGATTGCCGCGGGGTTGCTGTTTCGCACCATGTTTCAGATATGATCTTGGTGTGCTGATTGACTCATGCGCCCTGAATATAAGTCAGAAGCTTCTGGAATAGGTATTTTACAGCCACTCATGTTACCGAAACCTAACACGCGGCGCAGAGCAGTGTAGATGACACTTGTTTTGGGGGAGGGCCACCATACCTGTACTTTCTGGTTGGGACTTCACAGCGATGGAAGCAGTACCGTATCCATCGACTGTTAGTTGCCTTCGTCTTGCTGTCGAAAGAAGTGCTCTATGCACATCACACACCACGAGAAGGCGCGGATCTGTTGTCCAACTGGGTCGACTACCCTCTATGGTTCCTTTCAGCAACAAAGGCCACTACTGTGGTATATTGCACGGGCGTGCTGCAATGTGGTGTTATGCTGACCACAGAAATTCAAGAAGCGCAGCAGCAAACGTGATAGAAGGTAGCAGAAGCCGATCGAAATCCAGGGCGTTGACCACAGAAACCTGTGGTCTCTTCAACAGTTGTCAGGGTCTTTGGGTATCCCCTCCCATTTTAGATTTTCTACCTTCGCCAAAAGGCGACCGTAGATGCCAAGACTCCGTGAGATGAGGTCGACAAATTACGGAGAAGTATGGGCACTCAGGCACTGTGCCTGGCAACTTGCACCAAAAATCGCCAAGATGAGCTTGAGGCTTAGCAGGATTATATTCGGTCCGTGACAGGGCTTAGGGAAAACTCAATATCGCAAGGACGAACTGTAGCGGCTACCTCCCCACAAAATGTGCACTTCCTCTCCTTCGAGACCGGCCCCTTTGGATAGACTAGTTTCTTGGGGGCTGGTTCAACCATCGTGTGTGCTCGAAAGTCGAGCCAGGGTTCCCCTGGTGTGTCTTGCCAGTTACGCGTACAAGACCACCGTATTGGCCACTGGGTTCCTTCCCGACGATATCTCCCAATCTGATATCGTTATTTATGCCTAGATGGGCACCACTGGAGTCGACAAGAAGTCCAATCTTGATGTGGCGGAAAGTCCGCAACATGTCGTTTGCGACCAAAGCTGCAGCGCCTGAGGATCGGACTCGGTATCGGCAGCTCGACCGTTTCGCAGGAATTTCGTAGCAGGCAATACGGAGCGTGTCATTGATAGACGACGGTGACACGCTGTTGACTGACGGCAAGGACCCATTTTTCGAGAAGCCCGTCAGCGACGATCATAATGTCACTATCTACTTCCCGAGGTGCCACGATGGCGGTAGCGCTCGCAGACTCTTCCGAAAGACCGGCAATAAATCTTCCAAACCTAAACAGACCGAAAACATCGGCGTAAACCTCTACAGCCCCATGAGTACGAATACCCACCATTTCTCAGGGCAAACCACTATCTTGAACGACCAGTGGAGCGTGCTTGATGCAGATGTCTCGTGAGCCTTCACGCCGTTACCTCAATCAATCTAATGCTGGTATCGACTGCGATCAGGAAGGGCCCGGTGTTGAGGTGTGGCTCTTATGAGCGTGTATACGCGTAGGATGCTCAGTATATTGCAAGCTCAGCATTGCTGAGAATTGTCAACTCCATGCGCTTCTTCCATGTTCATATCAGCTCCTCGTCAAAGGACATGTCGAAGTAATTATCAGGCCTCGCAAGAAAGTAATCACACATCTTCACTATTCGTTCAATTTCTTGATCCTTGCGACTTGCCATCTGTTCAACTGTGGGACATGCAGGTAATGAGGCGTCAAAGGTTGCTATCGATCTCGGATTTAGTGGTGATGAATGTGGGTTGGAGACTGTGGAAGATTCTGCATAACGTGTATGCTGCGGTGGACGGAAAGCCACATTCCCAATATCAGTGGGCTCGGTCGACATTATAGCTTCTTGACGGCAAACATCACTGCCTGCCTTAAGCAAGGGGTGAGATTCTCCGATCGTGCTAGCTTTCGTGACTGGATCTGACGATGGCCCAGTCATGCGAGCGGTAGCATCTATGCTATGAAACGCGCCATCTCCATTGATCAGTTGTAGGAGCTCTTCTCGCGATAGGTCTGAGAGTTCTTGAACTTTATCAACGTGAGTGCTGAGAAAGAGCTTTTTCAAAATCGTATGATGTTTCTCGATGGTCTCGCTAGCCCTGTCCCGAGGTAAGCAAATGCGTGAAAGGGCTGACAGCAACTCACATCTTATAAGTTCTTCGTTTCGCCCCAGTCTTTGTGTAGTCGCAAGGGACTGTTCGATGATGCCGCTGACAACTCTCACAAGGGAGCTTGCCGTCACAACGAGTTTTGCGCCTTCGGCACGCTTCACATACCTTGACAATGCGAGCCGTCTTTTTGGCTAAAGAAGACATAATCAAATTATCGTGATTCTTGATGATAGGATGGAGGTTGTCATTGAACACGACTGCGTTGATTCTGTAAATCAGGAGAAGTGGATGTCCAGGTAAGGAAGGAGATTTATCAATCTCTTGAACATGGAGGAAATGAAAATTTGATGCCTTAAACAAAAAGACTCGCACCAATTTTAGGTTCGCAAACTGTTAATCGGCTCCTAGTGCACTGCCACTACTTCGCACATCGGTGGCTGGGGGGTGTCCTTGTCTAACGATAACGACGCAATGCAATTCAGACATACACTGGTCGGAAACTAGACATGGTTTCTACGAGATGACTTCAACAGCCACCCTACCTGTGCGTATCTTGACTGCACAAAACATATTGTAGATCTGCAAGGTAGGTAATTCGTCCGAGACGCGAGGAGCGAAAGTCACCCAGCCATCGGATTCTGGAGCCCAGGATGCGACTAAGGCAAGTCGTCGAAAGAGTAGACATGCGAACGATGATTACTGTACCACGCCTCTCGCGTGTATCGTAAGCTCCGTGTGCTGGTGTTGGCTGTTATCCATCATCGAGAGCCAACCATTTCGCAGGCAGCAATCCTGCCAGAGAGGCAGGCTCAAAGGTAAATCGTTGGCTGGTATCAGGGCCGGAGGTGGCACTGGTATGCAAACCATTATTGCCTTACCGGTCAAGAGGCTAGTTCGTAGTTGCTGTCTTTGCGATGACCTTTCTGGCGACCGCCCTTGAAAGTCAGTTGGCCGGCTGGAGAAGAGCCTCTCCGCGAACTAGAGAGTCTTGTCCATGATGCCCTGAAAATGCCTCGCGTCAAGACTCATCGTGATACACCCTGTGACAACTAGGATCAGCCGGACTATCAGTACCTCCGGAAGACGTCCAACAAGCTGTATCGCCAACAAGGGTTCCAATACGGCGACATCTTTGACTGGACGACTCGAGAATTCCAGGGGCTGGAGCTTGACGCCCAAGAATCGCTTGCATCAAAAGATGTGGACGAACGACGAGAAGAAGAGGGTACGAAGCCTTTTGGGTGACGGAGGAAGGGATGTCGGACCAAGGCAATGCCTCGAAGGAGGAGGTGATATTATCAACGTGGAAATTTAATGGACCAATAGACATGCCAATCATCACTATCATGACCGTAGCTAATGTCATCGATCATCGGAAGCCAACCATCTTGCAGGCAGCAGTACCTACACCGGGGCAGGAAGTGTTGGAGGCAGTTCATTGGTTGCAACTAGCACACCATTCAGAAAAAGTCTGTACGTTCTGTGCCGCGTCATCCTTCAAATCATTGAGTGTGTCACTTTGAGAGGCTTGTCATAGTAGTGGCCAGTGCGGCAACCGTTATGGCGACCACTTTGAAAATCGATAGGTAGGCCTGGTACATCGTCTACACCTTTCGATGTAATCGCTATGGTTCCTTCGCATCGGCTCTTCTTCGACGCCTTCTCCTTCGGCCACGCCTCCCTGCAAGGGCTGCTGAGCCTCGGACTCAGACCCAACCTCTCAAATTCTTGTATGGTCCAGCGAAAGACATCGTCGTACTCGAATCCCTACTGAGACTCTGAAGCAATATCTACTCGCAACGGTGGGGCATTGGCTGGTCCGCAATGGTTGGTTCTCGGTGGCTGATAACACCCATCATCCAGTTTGGCAAGAAAGCACAGACCCTGGATCCGGTCATCACGGTGCACACCGGAGAGGTGGCTCAAGTGACAGCATCATTGCTATGCCTAGGGTCCTCTCCATGCCCAGGTAGAGGGTGTCATCTCTTCCTTCCACGAGTCGTCTCGGTCGCATCCTGGACTCCACAACCCCATGGCTTCGTGGTGTCCACTCCTCGCTTCTCGTTCACACTATTCGATGTAGGTGACTCTTCAGCGTCAAGCCCTAGCCTCTGGAATTCTCGAATCGTCCAGTCAAACACGTTGTCATACTCGAACCCTTGCTGGCGGAAGAGTTTGGTGAACATCTTCCGAAGGCGCTGATAGTCTGGCCGCTCCTCATCGCGTAACTCGTGCACGTAAGTGAAGTAGTCAACAAATTCGGTAGGAAGACCAGCACAGAGTTCCCTCGCACTGATTGCCTGCTTCTTCTCCAAAACCAGCAGGTATTTGGTATCCCGCTGCGCCTTGAGACCTTGCCAAGGGAGTTTCCCACGCATGAAATACACTAGCATGTAGCCGAGTGCCTCCAAGTCGTCGCGCCGAGATTGTGCTGTAGGATAGTCAGCCGACCTTCTTGCACGCTTGAACACAGTGGACGCATCGCTTACCGACCCCCAAATGCCCGTTGATGCTCGCATACCTACACGTGCCTAATAATTGAGGAGGACGTGCTCGTATGTCAACATGAGTAGGAGTACTACTCGAGCCCCACCGATCGGGATGGCGGTAGATCGCAAGGCCTAAGTCGGTCATGTAGACGATATTCGCTCGCTCGCCCACACCCAGGAGAAAATTTTCAGGCTTAATATCCCGGTGAAGGTAGTTGTTGGAATGCAAACTCTCCAAACGACGTAGTAGTTGGTCGGCGAGCATCAGCGTCGTCTTCAACGAAAACTGATTGCCACAATATCGGAATAAGTCTTCCAAGTTCGGGCCGAGCAGTTCAAAGACCAAAACCGTGAAGTCATCTTTCTGTCCGTGCCAGAGCACCTGAGGAAAGCCAGGGTTCCGGGCCAGGGATTGATAGATTCGTGCTTCTTCTTCAAGCAGCGACGGCGCAACGCTGTGATGTTCGAGTTTCATGGCAACTTCGTGGCCGGTCTCGGCATCACGGCCTGTAGAAATGTGAGATCTTGTCGCGCCCCATGAACGCGGTCATACCTAGATACACACTGCCAAAAGAACCGGATCCCAGTTTCCGCACCAGATGATATCTGCCGCCAATGGCGATATTCTGTATACGCTGCACAAAGAAGTCCATGCTATGGTTGATTGTCCTTCAATAACGTTGACTCTCCATGATGGTTTTAGGTCTGCTGGCGCGTACCACCGACTAGACCTTCTCGCCAAGCACTCCAACTTCTAGGCCGCGTGGTTGCCTATTTACTCCGCATCGACCCCAAGAACCACGAAGGATCGGCCCACGACACGCTAACAAGGCTCAGCGCTCTGTGGCCCAATCAACCATTCCTTAGCGCTGAAGGCTTCGAAAGCGTGTGTCAACCTCAATTCCACCGCAGACATTGAACCCACCCACTGACCGCATGCGAATTGTGCGTCGACAACCTGCCACACCTCCTCCTGGCAGCATGCAGCCGTGCCTAACCTGCGACACTACATTGTGTCCGCTCTGGCGACCACATCTTCTCACCTTTACCCTCACGTTTTCCCTTTCTCACACTCATGTTCGTCCTCGAAGAGCCCAAGTCGAAAAAACGACGACGATTCTCGACACATTCTGAGGATCTCGAATGCCAGCCGATAACAAAGAAGCAAAAGTCTGCCTCGGAGAATCGTTCACAGCCTCGCCATCGCCCTCCCAGCTTCTGGAACACGTTATCTAAGGTCTGGCTCACTCGTGGGGCTCTGAAAGAGTTTGACCGCAGGCACATTCAAGAGGCAGGCCAGTATTGCTCCACGCCGACAGCGAGCCCCAAATCACCCAACGGACAAGCTCGTCAACGTCTCAAGCGATTTGCTCATCGCGGGGGCCCTGACCTATCACATCTTCGAGGGGTGCGTCTTCACGTTTGTCTGATCGAGATTATGGTATGCTAATGGATGGTGGACAGCTTGCCAATATACCTCTTCCGACCCTCTACAGAATGAGCGATTATGCCAATTCTCAGAGGCGGAAACGGTCTTCAGCCTCCTCGCGGCCGAGTGACAATACCAGGACCACCTCTACTAAGACCACCCCGTATAGCGGCAACTTTGAGCAAAAATTGATCGACACTGGCATCTACCCCAACCTATACGAACACCCGGATGGACGTCTATCACAAAAGCCGGCAAACTTGAGCGAGATCCAGGCCGCACAACGTGTCTCCCGCGCATCTCTCTCACCTTCTCGATTCACAGATGACGATTTCGAGGCATTTCAACGCGCGAATGCAAAGGCGTCCGCCGAGACCACGGGAATGTACAATGTCCTCCCTTTCATTGCCGGCAATGAGGCGACCCACCGTCTGGAGATGGGCCTGCCATTTGGCAACCTGAAACCCTTCGACAACGATCTCAGCGACCCCAGACCCGACGTTTATCACGGGGCGGCACTGTCGACCATTCATCCGCGGGTTCGTGCTGACTTGGGACCTTACATCATTCCATCGACGGTCGACTTAACTCGTCCGGCCGCGCCGAATTTCTTCGTCGAGGGCAAGAGTGCTCAAGGACGAGCTGATGTGGCAAAGAGACAGGCCCTGATTGATGGGGCAATGGGAGCCCGAGCCATACACCAACTCCAGAATTATAAAGCTGAAGAGCCCAAATATGATGACAAAGCACGTAGCTTTTCGGCTACCTACCAAGCGGGGACGGGCACCCTTCAGCTTTATGCGCATCATCTCACCAAGCCTCTCACTCCTGGGGGCGAGCCAGAGACTCACATGACTCAGACAAAGGCATTTGCGTTAACGAGCGACAAAGACACATTCGTACGCGGCGCCACAGCCTACCGCAGCGATCGAGACCTGGCGAAAACAGAGCGAGACAGCTCCATTGCCCATGCCAACCAGGTGGCTCGCCAGATGCCTGCGCCCAGCCCCAATACAAGCTTGACCACCAGCCGCACATCCCAGTCGACGGCCGTAGTTACCGGGTCAGACACTTCTGAAGACGAGCTGGCTCGCGACGAAGTGGCCCCGGTCAAGCGCGTGAGACCAAGTGCGGCGTCATCCGTGAGCTACAGTTCTGCAACTGGACGAGATGGTCGCCCTGCTTCCGGGGCCCCTATGGCTATTAGCAGAGCACCCTTGGCACCTCCGCAAAATACCACGTCGACTTCCAGACGCATTGAACGGCTTTCTGGGGAAGGAAGCATATCGAGCTCAACCTCCCACACGCGGACTGGAACGAACGGAGCTTTAATAGAAAGACGTTCAGACCTCTCCAGGCAATCTCAAAGCGTGCAGGGCTCAGGGCGAGGTCGTCAAACACGTCCAATGGTGGAAGTTAATTCAGTGCGGATGCGCCATAACGATGAGTCGGGTTGGTGTGTCGAGCACCAGGCTAAGTCTATCTTCGTGGCAGATTCGCAATGGACCGATTACGAAAAGGATGGACGGCCGGCTTTCTACTGCGCTCGTCTTCACGTCTTTACATATCGGCCTACGGGAAACAGGCGTCGGTGAAGGCACCAAGAATTCCGGGGAGACGGGAAAACGTTGGTGTCGACTAAGGTTGGCATTGCTTCCCCGAATTGCTATTAGAGGAAACATGCTTGCCCGTAAATTCTTGACCAAGCCGTTTGTTGGATCTATACTTGGCAAATACATAAATACTAGGCTTTGATCTCCAGGAGCCCATTTCCATGATTTAAAGCAATCCAAACGCTGGAGCAATGGAACTTACTTCACCTGAGTCGGGAGGCATTCTGACCCGCATCACAGCCATCGAAAGTAGAAAAGTGAAAATCGCTGAATCTATGAGCGTGTCTCCAGATGGCCCACGTCTTCATTGAATCCAGAATGAATCAAGTTTACTGTTCGCAATATCTTTTGACCCCTGAAAGAACAGCATCTCTTCGACGCTCTCCCGTGGTAGAAAGCACGCACCATGTCTATCCTCATGAACATGTTCGTGACCGTTCATGCGGCCGCGCCGTGTGTTTCAGAACCTGCAGGCCAGTTCCCTGTGGTCCTCTGGCCACGTCACCTCGTTCTCAGCAGGGAACGGCACGACAAACAGAGGGTGCGTGTCAGGGTCAGAGCGATGCCCCTGATGGATGCCGGTTTCTTTCGATTTGCACATTGGAGGATACTGGCGAGGGAGCTAGGGGTACAGAAGCGTTTAAGAGCAAAATTTACGAATTCACGACAGTCTTGATCTCCGTGTCTTTCAGCGGCACCCACATACTGTAAGATATTTTCGCAACGACCTTGCTCATGATTGCACCGAATTAACTAAACTACAGTATACTAAACTCCTTGTCAGCATTTATACGTTGCCACAGTCACCACAGTCACCACAATCCCCTTGCCGCTACAGTTAGCACCATCCAAGAAGTTATAATGACCTTTACTCGCACAGTAGTCAGCGTCGCCCATCAGGCGTGGAAATGTTACTCAGAAGTTTCACTACACATCCGTCGAGCCGTCGACTGCCATCCCAGTCTCCTCGAAACCATCTCTTCCGGCGAGTACCCTCCGAAAAAGAGCGGCAGGACGGGGAGAATGGTCGGATTTTGTTCTAGCTTACCTACGCTTCCCTACCTCACAATCGTCGGTCTGAGAATAGTAACTACTAGAAGGATAGTGACAGCCCTGTGCCGTGGTGGTTAACTCTTAAGCCCCTTGCGAAATTGGTTGGGAAAGTTCACGATAGTTAGCTCGGTGTCGCTCCAACAGTGTCTGCTGGGGTGAACCATCTACAAGCAAAGATAGAATATGAAGGGAAGATTGCTAGTGTGAAAGATGCCAAGATTTTTTGTTGCTCACATATGAAATCGTGGTTCATGGAAAGAATGTTTTTGCTGTGAGTGGTGGGTGACACTGTTTGATTGGGTGGTATTATACCAAGAGATGGATTTCTTTTGTTCTTAACCATTTCACCTCCTTGCCTGTCCTCGGAGGGGGGCAAGGGGACGTATCTGCACCTGAGCTAATCTTGGACCTGGGCTACTCACATCTGCCTAGCCACGACCAGGAAGGCATGGCCAGGATCAAGTGGCTCCTCCTCATGTTCATTAAAAGTCACTTCAGCCTGGACTTCATCCTCATCACTGACGTATGCTTAATCTTCTAAGCTCGCCAAGGCTCCGTCTCCACCATCCTCTGGCTTTATTGTCGGTTTCTTCTCCTCATTTTTGTAGATTACTTGTTGTTCGATGTCGCTGTCGTCGGTGATGTTACCCTGCTCTCTTAAGGCATTGAAGGAATCAACGCCATTGTCCTCCAGATTAATTGCCAGCTTCCCAACGCGCGGTGAGGTCCTGGTTTTTAGCATGGGGGTGAAGTCATCTTCTGATCATCATGAGCATCCTCTACAGGATGGAGAATAAGTTCTTCTTCTTGATTGTGCTCACGTCGTCCTTGCATTTCTTCCGAACTTTTTTGCTCGTCTCCCTTCTCTTTGCGGGCAACCTTCACTAGGTCTTTATGTAGCAATGCCTAGGTCTTTCTGTTTTCTGCGTTGGAGAGCAGCCGCGAATGCGTGATCGAGAATTTACGGGCAAGCATATTTCCTCCAACAGCAATAAAGTTTCGGTGGTGTGGTTGCCTACTTACTCCACAACCCATGCACGATCGGCCCCGACACACTAACAATGCGGCGCTCTTCTCGTCGAATCAGCCATTCTGTGTCCTTGCAGCCGTGCCTAATCTGCGACACTAAATTGTCTCCTCACCTTTACCCTTATAGTAACGTGTTTTTATCCTTCTCATACTCTTGTTGCGGGCTGTTCGGTGCTCACAAGTCGTTTCAAACACTGTACGCCTTCACTACTTGCTCCCGCTCCGTGCTGTGCTACACTATTCTGCCACTCAAATTGAAGGGCACACCACGTATGGCCCGGCTATCACAGAGTCCCGTATGAAAGGCATCTTATTCGGTATTCGGTTCTGTGCTGGTGACCAGCGTTCTCCAGTACGCGGCGCTCACGTCACGTGATAATTTACTGGTTTGATAAAAACTTTTCAGAGACTCCCCAGGGTACTGTGCCTCATCGACCGAACCATTTACAAGAAACTGTTCTTCCTTTGGGCCCACTACACAATGGACGAGCCTAGAGGAGAAGATGAAACTCACAGTCCTACCTCAAGTTCTTCGTCATCGACTGACCTTGGCCCCGGCGGGAGTCCGGGTGACGGTGTTTGTCCCTCAATCTCATCCCTCGAAGCAGTCTACAAGGCTACCTACGACAGTTGGGCCACTCCAGCGAGACAGACATCACTTGATGGACACAATGAGCTGTTCGATATGGATATTTTCTTCCAGCTCATGGCTAGATTTCCGCCTTTTCGACCTCATTCACTTGAAGACCTCATTGCGCCTGGAACTACTCCTTCGGACTTAATCGTCGACCTGGTCATGTCCCTTGAGACCTGTATGCTTCCAGAATGCACCCAGCGCGAGAAGAGGGTACCTTACCACCTTCTCATTGGAAGCTCAACGTGGAAGACGTATGAGGTGGTTTACTCGCATGATCACGAGAAGATATCTCAAATGGGTCTGCCACTTCATTCGCTGCAATATCTGACTCGTCTGGTCCTGGCCTGGTCATACATTCTCTCCTGTCGTTGGGTAGAGATTCTCCAGAGGTAACATTCTCTCTGGTTACGACATTTGCAATCTCCTCGATGAAGTTCTGGAACTTGTCATTGTCTGTACCTGGGGGCAAGATTATGGGTCGTTTGGCGGACTGCCATTCTCGTGGTGCACTTCCCTCAGGTTGCCGATATGCCAACGGCTCTATTACGACAGAGGTTGTCATGCTGTTCTGAGTGCGTCGAGACTTGTGTGTGAACAGACTTAACGCTGGTCTAGGATGGCAGGATGAAGAAAGTCGCTTGCTTAGGATGCGCTGTGTAGTATAGTCACAGCCACGGAACCGAGTGCTGGCTGGGAATCACAGTCTAGAACTACCGCGACTATTCCCATGTGGCGCTCTCCGTGGTCTTCGACCGAGGTCGGTGAAAAGTGATGCTGATCCGCCATTTCCCCACGGTGGGGTCGGTTGCGCAGCCTCTGCATAGTCGACCAGCATCTTGACTAGGTAGATGAAGGATTGGTAGAGCTATGCGGGAAGGAGAAGAGTCTGAAGTGAATCAAAGGTCAACGGAAAACGCTAGATCCATCGAAAGCACTCTAATATATGCAGACACTTTCATGAAGCTTCAATCACCAAGTCCAGTGCGCACGAAAGTCCCAGAAAGAGATAGGGAAGGATCATGCATTTTGCTTCTCTTTCGAAAACGAGCAATTCATGGGGCAAACTTACTAAGGACATTGTCAGTCTAAATATTCGTTTCGTTTAGCTGCTAAGTCCTACTTGATTGACTTAATTAATTGATACGTCTTATTGCCGCCAAGAGTCTTCTATCTCTAGTCTAGTCCTGATGAAGAGGATAATACACCAGGAATTCTATTGAAGAGAGGGTTGGGAATATCGTCAATGACCATTAACTATAAAACTGGACTTCTAAAGTTATGAATTAAAGTTATAAATCGTGCTTGACTCTTAAACAGTGCGAATGAACTATCTCATGTTGATAGTGAGTACGTATGTCAACTATTTTTCCCCAAGCTGTTAATGGCCCTTATAAGTCGACGACGATCCGGCTCCAGAGAAGAAAGACGAATCCAAGGACTTTGAGCACGACGAAAACCGGACCATCAGTCAACTCATCCCAAGGGTTCTATTGAATCGGCATTGCTTGGTCGGCCAAGGCTTCATTGACTGACCGAATCTTGGATTAGGAATAAAGCAAACAAGCTTTCTAGTAGGACCTGTCTGACCATTGATGCTGTTGTCCCAAAGTAGTTCTCATTTCGAAGACAGGGCTCTCCGTTTCAAGTTCACCAAGATACCAGTTTGTTTGTTAAACCATAGATCAGACGTTTTCCATGGCTTGTCCGTGGCTAACTTCAATTTGAAGCTGCGTAGAACATGGGGGAGAAGTTTATGGATTTCACTTAGGGAGATCTAGTACCCAAGTCAGCAGTCAACGAAGTATTTTGTGATGGGAATGTAGCCATACATTTTTCCCTATGCAAGTTCTCGTCCCAGCTCCGAAGTGCAGCATATATTTATCCATCTTGGCTGCATCCCCATGAAGCCATCGTGAGGGCCGAAATTCATTTGCATCGGCGCCAAAAATGGATTTGTCATACTGTACCACAGCCGCATTCATGCCAATTCTGTAACCTTCGGGAATGACAACATCACAAATTTCAAGTCCCCCCAGCGGAGCTATGCGAGGCATAGTGAGTCCGACACTTGGATGGAGCCTCATGCCTTCCTTTATGCATGCACAAAGCAGCGGAAGTTTGTTGGCTTCAGCGAATTTTACAGGAGTGCTCAACTCACCGCGGGCATCGGCGGCGTCAATTTCTGCCATGAGGTCATCGTACACGCTCTCGTTCTTCAAAAGATGATAAAGAATGGATCTCATAGCGATTGCTGTGGTATCTGAACCGGCAAATCTGTAGCGTATGTTAAAACCTACTGAAGGAATACATGGCAAGTGAAGACCTACAAGCCCACATAAGCCTCATAAGTGATCTCGCCTAATCCGAAATCAACCTTCTCTCCCTTAGTATGCGATATGTCAAAGAGTTGTGATAGAAGATCTCTGCGAACACTCTCCCCGGCGGCGAGTTGCATGGAGCGTGTGGCGACACAGCTTCTTGCTGCCGTAGCAATATGATCTATAGCTTTCATAGCTTTTCGGATTGCGGGGCTGATAATGGATGAGACCAAAATTAATGGCCGTGTGTAAGAAGGGGCAACCGCGGCCAGCGTAATGAGAGGTACAAGCATATCAAGCGATGCAATATATGACTCGTAGTCGGTACGCTGTTCCATAAAGCCAAACATTTTACCAAAATATAACTCCCCGATGACATCAAAGGCATACCTAGTACCGTCTCAGTGCCTGTAGTTTTCGTGGAAGTAAGACTTACATTTGCAGCCAGTCACCAAGGTCGATGATCTTACCGGCATCTACATATTCGCCAAGTCGCTGAATGAACAATGCCGAGCACTTGTCGATATACATTTCCGACTGAAGGACGTTTGACAAAGTGTAGACCTGATTTACTATCCTTCTCCTTTCGGCGTGGAGCTTCTCATCGGTATTGCTGAAGTGATCGGGATATTTGCTGAAGGTTTTGTTTCCCCACGGTGGGTAGAAATCCGTCTTTTTCGGGGAGTTTTGCATGCGATAGATTTGTTTGATCGCATTAGGGTACGCGCAAGCAATCTCATTCGGAGCAATGCGAACCAAGTAACCATATTTCTGGTGCAGTGCTCTCTGGGTGTGATCCATATCACCTTGATAGGTGCGCCACACAATCCATCCTCGGGTTACTGAAGCCCAAAAGGGGCCCGGAATTTTGGCCAACGGGTGCAAGGTTCGAGCGTAGAAGATCCACGCTGCAAGATATATCAAGACCAGTGTCGGCGCAGAGATCCACAGAGGGATCACCGACAAAGTCCGAACCACTTTGTACAGGAACATAATGACAGTCAGATAGGTGCGATAGGACAAAATGAATGGCTATTGACACCTTGCAGATATAAAAGACATACAGCGATTCCTGAAGTGTGGTCGAATTCAGATCAGCTCCTCGGCAAGCCTACCGGCCACTCCCTATGCCATTTGCCGGTTAGCACTCACACATTGGAACCCCTTACCTCGGATAGTAAACCCCCACAATCCCGAGATTGTCCCCGCAATATGTGTGTTCTAGCTTTTATTAGGCTGAGTTAAAACTCGACGATTGGAGCACCGCAGTACCAAATGATTGGGCTGCAGAATTAGTTCCAACTTTTGAATCGAATGACCAACTCAAAAACTGGCAAATCTTGGCGAGCTGAGACCACCGAAAATGTGATCGTCCAACGCTTTACGATCACCTGAGCTGGTGGACGCTAACGCAGAATGACACAGAGTTGGGGTTGTGGGTTTGAAGTCCTCGAAGGGATAGTGAGAGCGGGCTAGAGTGCACCATTGACGTTCCAGAAAAAGGTGCCAAAGGAGTAAAGCCGTTTCAACTCCAAGAACAGGACTGGCTCAAGCGTGTGTAAAAAATACTCCATCGTGGTGGGCAGCTTATCTTAGGCCACCACCGGGCTATCAAACGGGTGCACGTACTCGAGGTCTTTCACGGGGTGACAGAACCAGGCAGAAATGGGAAGGAAGGACACTACCGAGCGTATCTCGATATGAACTAGGCCAACCGTGGTGTCCGCTATGATATGGCAGTTTTTCAGACGGAATGGCTCTGACCGCCGTCTTACGACGTTCAGAGACCCTCCCATGACACTCTTGGGTCGTCGTCGAACTTGTACAAGAAAGCTTCAGTGACCCGGATTGAGTCCCAATACCCAGTCCTCTACGGTGTAGTGAACACATATTTATGGAATGTCTTCCAGGAGACATCCTTGCTATCGGTCCTTGGTCTCTGATGCGGCCCAATTGCCTCCCTGAAGAAAAATCAGTTTTGAACGACGCTTTTCGCATCCACTTGCTTACCAGTCCGAGACTCTTTTTGACCCCTGGCTAAATCAAGTGCGCTCTGATTCCCCGGCCATTGCGGTTGAAGATTGTTGATAACCTCATCAATACCCACAGCCTTTCCGCCGGCTACGTAGAGCGCCTCGTCGTTCGTGTCTGGGTTGCCGGCAATCTCTAGACCTATGCGACCTACTCCATCGGCACTGTTGAGAGGCAGATCGTCTTCGACCCACATTGGACGTACGCTGTCCTACATTGGTGTATCTGTGGCCCAAGGGCATAGCACACTGATTCACACGCGGAACACCTTGGGAGGTAAGCCCTCGCAGATCTCATCAGACAGGAACACTTCACATCTTCCGGTTGATGGCATTGATTCCAGCTTGAACCTATTATGGATGGGTAGATATGGTGGGAAGGGTTATGTGGCTTACGACTTCGTACATACAACAATCTCTTTCTCATTTCAGTCCGCTTTTACGGATCGCCGCGCCAACGGCCACCCTTTCCCCATGCGAATTCATTTTTGCATAATCGATTGCTCTTAAGGGTTTAAAATCTTGCATCTAAAATTAACTTGCTGACCCATTATGCAAAAGGTACGCTCTTGTTTTTTTTTCTCGAGCTGCTTCTTTTGAATTACCTTTACCAAGTACCACAATATCATTACCTTCAGGTGTGACTGTGATTTATTCCCACCGTTCTTTAGTACATGGACATAGAAGTGGAGCTTTAAATATCTATGAGGCTTGACAAAATTACGTGCCAGCAGTCGCGGTAATACGTAGAAGACAGGTGTTATTCATATTTGATCAGTTTAAAGGGTACCTAGACAGAAAATCAAGCCTACTAAGGTACTAGTTTTGTAGATTTTTATGTGTGAATAGCGAATTATCAGAGCAGGGTCGAAATCCTTTAATCCTGGTATGACGGGTAACGGCAAATATTCTATTGAAACCCGTTGCGGTAAACAGTAGGTATGTTGTCATTATTGGCGACTTGAACTCGGGTTCTTATCCTTCGGTAGTAAAATTGGAGCAAGGCTGAATAAGACGTTCACCTACCAATTGTTCCATCGTACAGCTTGAACATGAGTTTGACCAGGCCATCCACGGCCTGCAAACTCACCCAATCGCTTTCAGAACGAATTCGAACGGATGTCAATATACTCCTTAGACTGCAAGGTGTTCGAGGGGCTAGTTCTATTACCCCGGAATGGGTAGAAATCCGTCTTCGTTAATGGATTCTGAGTTCGGTATAGCTTTCTGATTGTCTCTGGGTCTGAGCAGGCACATTCATCGCGATTCTGACCACAATTCCATACATTAGGTGGAGACGCCGCTGGGTGTGCTCCGAAGCTCTGCGCCAGGTGTGGAAAGGAATCCAACCCCTCCTGATCGCAGCAAGTCGAGGACCAGGGATCTTGCTGATCGAGGACCGGGGATCTTGCTGAGTGGATGACATTGGAGAGCGTAGATGGTCCATATGAGCCAATAGCAGCTAAATGAAGAGGGCAAGAGGGACAGAATGTTAAGAAAGAGCCAACTCGTGACCTTGGTTTCGAGTAGCATCTCAGACAAGGTCGCTGCTGCGAATTTCAGTTCAGTGATGGCAGGGACATAGTTGGAATGGCAGGGACATATTTTAGGTAGCCTTCCCATGGGATGAGTCCTGGGACGACCCTTAATACACATGGTTCAAACTGAGGCGAGCCGGCACACCGAAGCGGCCGCGATCCGGTCACGCAAGACTTTCCCCCACAAATCCGCGTTCTGGTTCTCGTTAAAGCGGAGTATGGATGGGGGCGCCGATCTCCCGCTTGCCTTCCTAGAGACTTTACCCAAAGTGATAGAAGGGATGGCTACTTTTACTCGGCGGAGGAGGTTGAAAGCTTCTAGGTTATTAGCAGAAATTTGCAATTGGCGCCAATATTCCTCTAAGCTAGGTCCGCATCAATCTTGTGGGCATCCTCAAAGGGGCTCTAAAGCACCCTTGCCACTGATTTTGAACTCGCCAACCTCCCGCACAAGTCTCTTTCGGGACTTGAAAGCAGCGGCTGGTACCCAATTTCCATGGATCTGGGCTTTGACATGAAATGGTAGCTGAACAATCGCCACAGGTGTTTCGAAGTCTCCGGTGTCAATTATGGCTACATCACACCTCCCAGCTGCACGTCTCTCAATGAGTGTCATGACCCAACCGTCACCCTCTGGCGCATCGGTGGACCGAGGTATGAAAATGGGTTCTTGACACAGGGAATCGTCCCCAGCACAGAAATACCTGGTCTTGCCAGTTTTGTTGTTATGCATAGCCAGACCGTTAAGACCATGGAAAATATTCTTGCTTCCGTCCATTCCCTCAGGGATGAAGACATTGAGAAAAAGCCACTCGTACTTCTTGGTCATGAAACGTTCGTCAATCCTTGGAAATTCAGAGGGTAGGTCGAGGACGACAAGAGGATCGGGAATCTTGGCGCTAGTCGGCTGCGATAGGTCAAGCTCCCAACGGACGAAGTCGGCCTTTGTTTCTGGGGAAGGCATTCTGCCATTGATGGGAGGGAAGAAAGGAAAGGCATTGTCATGTACTCTGGAGCTTTCGACGTAGATTTTGCCATCGTCGGATTCCCAGGCAGCGGCTGTGTGGATAGCCATACAGTTTTTCCACGAATAAACGCGGTATTCCTCGGGCTTCCAGCCATACTTCGAAGCGGCACCTTCTCGTCTTGGGACAACAATGAAAGTCGCGGGCAAATCATAATTCCATGCCCAGTGCTGCTTTCCGGCCTTCATTCGCGCTTCGTTGGCCTCAAATGGCCAGAGGAAAAGGACGTTGAAGTTAGGAGTAATGGCGCAGTCATGGATAAATGCACACCACGGCGCCTTGAGCCAAAACTCTGTTGTCTTTTTTCCTTGCCTGTCTAAAGCATACGTCACGACGTCAAGAGTTGCAAGGCCTTTGGCCTCGTAGCCAAAAGCTACCAGTTCATCTGCGAAAGGGTCGATTTTTGGGTGCGCTGTAAAAGTCTTGGACTTCACCTGCCCCTGGAAGGGATCATATCCGACCGTTTCCAAGGTGTCTGGATCAACGGCGTAGGGTAGAGCCACCTCTTTCAAGGCAAGCAATTTATCCGCCCAGAACACCAGATTTGTGTTTGCCGTGGAGTCAACGGCGGCGCGGACACACGGATGGTGAGTGAAAGGGTTCCGATAGAGCCCAAAAAGAGCCTTGTTCGCCTTTCGTTCTAGCTTGTAGCGTTCAGTCTCGACGTAGCGCATTTTCATGTCCACCCTACCATGATAGAAGCGGAAAGCGGAAATATTGCCGTCCCCATCGATTGGCACATTATTTGGACAAGGAGGGACAAATGGGTCACACATGACACGATAGAAAGTACCGTCGATCTCTTTGGGGATTTCTCCCAACACCACCAAGTCACCAATTTCACCCTCAAGGCGACACGGAAGACTGGATCCTGCTAGGTCGTGGGCCAATGGCCATTTCGAGGTAAGGCCATAAGTGCCCTCATTCCCATCCTTCCCTGTAGAAGCTGCGGCTCTGGACGGAGGGGGAACATCAGGTGCAAGTAAGGCCAGTCCATCATTAGTAGCAGTGGAGTCTTTATGGACGTTTGGAGTAGTTTCAGACATGGTAGCAGTCGTGATTGAGCAGATGAATTGAAGGTGGTTGCATATGGGAGGGCGGCAGAATGAAGCCTAATGTCAATATATAGACATTGGCAGCTGAAATCAGCTGTCCGGAATCTCATGTCAGTTCAAGCAGTCGGAGTGTAGAAAGCCTTGGATTGATTGCCCAAAAACACGAGAAGAACAATGTAATTTGCTGGAAATTTTGCGGCGTGAAGGTTAATCCGAATACTGCCCAGCACAGAAATAGCTGCGTTCCTATTGGTTGCTTATGCCTCTGGGAAACCTGAAGGCGGGAATGTGGGGGCGGGGGGAGCGGGGTCTGTGAGTGACGAAATGCCGATTTCGACGATGGCAATTTTCTGTTCTTCATGTTTTCAGTTGCGGATCGCCCTTTTCTTATTTATCACTTCCTGTGGATTTTCGGCTTTGTCGGATAGTGACTATCGAACAACATTTGCATCAGATTGCCGGGCCCCGACTATCCTTCGTCTACCAGGGTCGCAGCTTGAGGTTCCCACAAACTCATCAGCCCCCGGTTCTCAACTCGGTACTTGTACTACTGCGAGTTTGCTCTACCGAGGGCGAGGCGTGTGGAGCACTAGACTCTTCTATGTCTGGGGGCTATTGCGGCTTCGCTTGCGTAGGCGTCGAAATCATTCCTCGAAGGTCGCGAACCAGAGCTCTGTATTTCCGACATGTCAAGCGTCCCAAGTCAGTTTCAGTGCTCAGTTTGCTCGACAACATATTCACGACTGGAGCACTTAAAACGACACTTTTCAAGCCGTACGTTTGCAGAAGCCCATACACTCTTCCGGGTGCGTTGCATGTGACTTATTTCAGTTTGACCACTAGACACGTCGTCTTGCCCGTTTGACTGTTCGTTATGTGGTAAACGTTTCAAAAGAAGGTGAGTAATCGCTGCATGAGTCTAGTTACGGCCTGTACGCTCAAAACTTGTTCAGGGATATCTTGATACGACATATTCGCTCGTGCACCGGAAGATCCCGGTCGGATCTTGTAATTGCGTGGACTGGTGGACCGACAAATTCTCGAAGAAGAGCATGCATTCGTTGTTCTGAGCGGAAAACACGATGCAATCTAGAGTCGCCCTGTGGAAATTGCCGTGTTCAACGCAGGCATTGCGAGTACCCTGCGCAAGCTCGAACCTTCCAGTCCGATTACAAGGCGCGTGCAAGTGATAGACCTATTGCGACCACAAATTCACCAGGCGATTTGTCCAGATTTAATTCTGAACGAATATCAGTGGCCTCTGGCGAGCAATACATCTCTGGTGGTGATTCTGACTCTTCACCTATCCTAGGATCAAGCAGTGGGCAAATTGCCTTTTCCGACGTCGTGTGTAGACCACCAATTCATCCACACCATGTTCTGGAAGAAAGGTACAACTCTATCGCCTGTACGTTTATTTCGCGGCTCCCATTCCTATTGCAAGACCCCACAGACTCGTTCTCATTTCTTGTCCGTTTCACTCAAGATGCCGGAGTTATATATGCATTCGAGTCCGACGCGGTGCTACAGATGCTGAAGATGGCGTCCCTGACGAGGCTGGAAGAACAAAGCTGGCTAGTCGATCAAACCATGTTTCCAAGCATTATCTCACACAATGATACGACCGGGACTCTGCCGATTACCGTCAGTTGCACTCGTCGTGACCTAGCGCTCGGTGAAGCTCTTAGCGTCGAAAGTCATCTGGGCGCCAGTACCAATTATTCTGCAGCAAATATGGTGGAGTCGCGAGCGGACCAAGACTCTTGGGTAAAGGGGGACACAGTGTTTCAGGACGTCTGGGCTGAAGACTCACTGGTTGTTAAGACCTTAGAGATCGTGAGTCGTCTACGAGAGATCATCATCGGATCCAAAGCAACGAGCACGCCGTCCCTTCTCTGGACGCCAGCTCTAGAGGCCAGATGCATGCACTTCTTTTCGCCTCCAAAGATTCGGATATTTCTGGAGGCATATTGGAGTATCTGGTCTCCAAACTGGCCAGTCATCCACCGCCCAACATTCGACTGCGCCTCAATTCCAACGACACTTTTGACTTCTTTGGTGGTTTTAGGAGCTTCCCACTCTCCGAACCCAGTGGACCGCCATATTGCCAGGTTCTGGTACGATTCCGTTGAGCAGATGGTGTACACAGATCTCCATAATGTTTCAGCGGCATTGAATCAAGGCCATACGTGGAGACCTGAAGCAGACATTCAACGCCGATCCGTACAAGCAATTCAGGCCGCATATGCCGTATGTATCTATCAGAATTGGGATGGAACTTGGTCCGCACGAACAAGGATTCGCAGGCAGCGATTCAACGATGTAGTGGCGGTATCTTTACCCAAGCGGAATTTTCCGTCAAATCTAACACTGACCATATTTCAGGCATCCAGGTCATTAGGATTTTCCCAAGCCAGACACAGTGACCCTGGAAATTTGACCCGATCCACCTTCGACTGGCATAAATTCATCTTGGATGAGGAGGCAATACGGTAAAATGAACAACTGACCCATTGCGTGCATGAACTCTTAGCTAATGTATTGTTGCTAAGGACACTCCTTTGGGTTTACCTTCTTGATACAGCTTTCGTCATATTCAATAACACGCCTCCACGTATAAGCCTTCGAGAGCTCAGCATGGGTCTTGCATGTAGCGAGGCATGCTTCCAAGCCGATGACCCGTCGAAGTGCTTCAATTTGCTCAAGCTCTGGGGGAGCCGGGTCAGTCGACCTCAAGATTCGTGTCTTTACTCACTTCTCAGACTATTCTGCACGGGTGATATGGACAGTGCCACGTTAGACCGCATTTCCCATGAAGGGTTCATGAATCTGTGGTGCATCGTGGGGTGTAAGTGCACGGAAGTCTCCACAATGAACAAGGACTGACGATGCTTTCAGCGTTTCATGTTATGATTTTTAACCTCAACCCATCACTGCCCACCCGGTCCCAATTAGCGGCTGTCCGTACCGGACTTACTAACTGGAAGGTCGTCTGGAACCAGCGCTACCTTAATGATGACGAGCGGTTCTTCGATGTCCCAATCACGGATCTGCTCAACAGAGATAGGACAATACATCTTGAACAATTGCTGCATATCCCTGCACATGAATCTAGTCTGTGGAAGCGCTCCGGCTTCTGGAAACATGCGCCAGAGTTTTGGCTTCTGGCAACACTAAAACTGGACCACCTCCAATTTGGGCCTCCTCAAACGCGAACTGAGGAGGCTGAGCAACACTACGACGATACATCCATGACGCAGTTGAAGAAATTCATTAAGTGTTCTCACAGATCACAAAGCAGCTAGCCTCTGGCCACCTCTTGGACCCGAGTGCGTTCTCATTCGTGGGCGTACATGAATGGGGCGCCACTCCCTTCCGCGGGAATATGATCCTTAGTTAGAATATCCAATTTAAGGTCTGAAGCGAGTTGTGACACTCGCATTCGGATAGCTAAGGCAATCTCTTGGTGGATCGCATCGTTCTCTTCTTCACCTTAGAGTCAAATCGTTGGGAGGTCGTCTAGCTTCTTGGAACTCGACTCAGACATCGTCGTACGGTCGACTCGTAAACTTCAATCGTCCTCACCACGTTCCGGATAGCCAATCGATTGAATGAAACGAGCTGATTGGAGAATCGTCATTCGTCCAGTGCGTCGAGGACAGACGGCACATCATGCATCTAGTCGTGTCTCGTGGGGTCGGCCACTTCCTCGGTCACTTTTTCACCGGCACTTCCCCATACCGGAATGGCATATTGTATCAGTTGAGGAGAGTGCGGGAACAATCGATGCAGCAAGGCGCACGAGGCAGTGACCAAGTCATCCTGATCTTCGTTGTCTTTGGAGAATAAATAGCACACCGTGTGGCTGTCAATATTTCAGAGCTCGTTGTCCGCAAGCGATTTTGCGAGGACCGACTTGCCACACACATCCCGGGTCAGCCGAAATCCAGAGGAGAGCATCGTGTGTCGTGGTGTACCAATCCTGATACTGAGGGTGGCATAATATCCATTGACAAGTGCCATCGGTGAGGATTGCGCATGTCTGTGTACTCTGTTTATGCACTGGTCTTAGATGCCAGGTGACATTGCCAGTTTTGATCATTCTGATATGGCTGATCTCCTTTTACGAATCGTCATTTGACCTCTGAACATGCTCCTGCGCAAGACTTACTTTTTTGACGGAATGCTGGTCAAGAGAAGCTGTGGGGAATAGGTTCATCATCAGCAAGTGCCTGATAGAGAGCTCGAATTATTGGCTAAGTGGGAGGTGCTACTTACAACGGACTCCAGTTCTTGAAGCTCTCCCATTTGAGGGACTAGGGGCCTTTTATGGAGGGAAGCCGAGAAGCCCGAGCCTCAGGCACCATCATCTCTTCCTAGTATGGTTCTCACACGTGCCAGTGCTTTTCCTTTCCATAATCCTGCTTTTGAGTCCTAAGCTTTAGAGTGGGATGGTGGGAGGCAAAGGGTGATGTCCTGTGATATTTAGGGACGGTCACAATCGTGCGCTCAAAACGAAGCTCTAGGTCAGCTTGGACAGTCAAGCGAATGATGTTGCTGTCCTAATATTCTTATAAGCGGGCTGTTGAGGAAATCAGTAGCTAATGGAGAATTTACTCTCTGTGAAGCGAGGCCTTTACTTGTGTTAGACTTTGGCACCACGAGCATTGTGATTCTCTGTAATGCATTTCGCCGCACATGATCCACAATGATACCATGCGTGTGGTCAAGATTCGACACAATTTTCAGCATTTGTAACCCAACTTCCCGTGACAACTGAACTAACGGCCTGTCTGAGATGAGGAATGGCCCATGCCAGATCATTTCACTATCAAAGATACACAGGAGAGAAAATCGACAGTATTTCTCACAGAACCGGGGATCATCTCCAAAGTTCAGTGTTCCTTAGCAATACCAATGTGCCCTGACCGCATTCAATGAATGGCAGCCACAACCCCTCTCTTTCCCATCCCAGACTTTCAGCTAACAGCATTTAAGGATTACTCTACACTCAAACTCATCAATCCCAATAACTAGACAGCTTCTCAAGTCGCCCAGCATCGAGGACTACATCGTAGTGGCCCGTACTCTTTCCTGACCCTCAGCCTCAAGTCCAAGGACCCTTTCCATGAAAATCGCATATTTCAAACCATGCCATGTCTGTCGGAGGATTGGCTGTTATGATCTATAATGATATGCGCAAGACCGCGAATATAGTTTAGGATTGGGTTGGATAAATAGTTGAACCTGCCTCCATCTTGAATTAAGGTCTGTGAATTGTCAATTCTTGGCGCGAAATTGACAATCCGAGCTGATTCTGCGGCGGTAACGGAACGCGGCACCGCTAATGGCAGCAGATATCCCTGGTTCCAACAATTAATGAGCTAAAGGGCTGTAGGCAAGGGATGCTCCATCTACTGTGAAAATTCTAAGATATCTAGAACTCAGGAACCGGAGTCAAAATACTCAGGAGGCTTCAGCATGTAGATCTTCCCCCCCGAACTCCTCGACATCCTGCGGACGGAGCTCAAGTTTGCCTCAGGCCCCATTCACCGAGTGAACGCGGCCGGGGACCCACCGCAGGAGCCATGTTTGAACAGGCCGCCAGCATAACGGTCCCGAAGGACATAATTGAAAGCTTGACGTTGATCGCTGGCCAGGGCCACCCTCAACCGAATCAGAGGCAGACCATAACTCCTTCTGCGGACATTGTGAGCGTCCCAACGACCACAACATATACCAGCATTCACACCGGAATTACAGTCAGTGATTGTGAGCACAGCGATTCCGGATCGCGACAAGATAATCAGCGTCGTGTCAACACAGACACCGCCAGCGGTGAACCTGGTTTAAGTGTTCAACATGCTGGATCGTCCAATGGTAACAGTGAGAACCGTAGCAGTAGCGAACCTGGTGCCCATGACAAAATTCTGTATACGACAACGTACACCAGCTTTGAAAATTCTGGTCCATTCAGTGAACATTCTCTATTGGCGCAACTACCTGTACAGGGATACATCGGAGAACAGCTTCGCGATCACTCTACGGGGTCTCCAGCAAGCGGACCGGAAGATACATTACTGGGGACTATGGGTGGGGGAAGAAACGAAAATTCACTTGATTGGCATTTTATGTTCGAGGACGTAGAATCTTTATCTTCTGAATAGGAGGCTTGGAATTGTCAGACGCCCGATTGGACGGTTCTGTTTGAGCAGGCAGAAGCGGTATACTTTGAACGGGATTGTGAAAATATCTCTAGATAGGCTCAGTTAGACGAAGTGGCATCCTCAGTCCCGTCTTTCAGTTCCACGACGATTCCGCCAATACCCCCAGTCTTCAGGACAACACCCTCTCTGTCGTGAATAATGAGAATGTCGTCAACCTGTCTCTCAAGGGGGTGGTGTTCGCGATTCGAACCCATAGCAACACCATAGCACTGTTTCTCAAGCTTCTGGAGGGGAATTGTGGTCGACGGTTTCTGCTTCGTCAGCATCGATTTGGTGGTTTGTTTCGTAGCACTCTGCTCATGATTTTCGAAAAGTGGTCCTTCGATTTCTGTGGGGTTGGTAGCTGCATGGTCTGGTTGGAGTGAGAGGGGTTCTTTCTTGAAGTGTTTTTAGAAAATTCGGGCTTTCGTGTTATCACCATTATGATCACTTGATTCCGAGCAACAATACCCTTCGAAAGCCAAATCCATTTCGGAGTGTGTTGTAAGGTGAAGTGTCATCCTTCACGGCTATATTCGTCTACAATTCTGGGGAGCTTGCCTAGGGTCAGCGGCCGAAGAAAAAATGCTTGTTAACCTACATATTTTTGATTGAGCTGCCGCAGCACTGCTGCAGGCTCGGGCTCGAGGTTCTTTAAGTCAGGCGAGATCGGTAGTGTCCATTGGTTGAGTAAATGCCCCTCCCTATCGATTTCCTGAACCATGGCCTCAGTTAGAAAGGAAGCAAGCGGCGTAGTCCAAGAAGGCGTCTACTTCAGCCCTGTTAAGATTGAGGTCCTTGCCGAGTTGATCCCATTCGCCGTGGTACTTCGTATGCAATGAGATGATAAAGTCGAAAAGAGGGATAGCTTCGGGTGATGTCTGTCGTAAAACAATCCTGGTCCCGTACCACGATGCTCTTATACATTGTCAGCCTCCTACACGAAATTACAGTTGTTAGCTGTATCCTACCGGGACATATGGTGAGCATAGATCTGCTCACTGTGCCTCAGTGTGTGGAAAGCCGACGCTATGTCGAGGCGATGGATCGGTGAATGCTTCGCAACAAACCGCGAAAGCTGGTCTCCCATAATGACTGGTTGGCGGCAGCGTGTTCAGGGTTTCTTGCAGAGTCATGGGATTATCGTGGTGGTGGAGAACTGGGACGAAGGGGAGGACGGTTAGGAGTCCAGTGACTAGCGACAGACGGTAGCCGGCGCCTGAAAGTCTAAATAGCTACGTAGCCAGTACCATCGGCTTGTTTACGTGTTCGTTAAGAACAGAGTGCAAA